ATGCAGGCCAGGCAGTGAGACTTCCCAGGGACCTTTCCAGTCTGTATGAAAGGCGTCATGGTCTTCTCCACAGCCTTCACCTCAGATGCAGACCATGGCTTTCTTACACGTTCTAGGGAGAGAAATAAAAATATATTAGCAATATACACTCCCAGGGTTAGGACCAAGCAGCCATTTTCCTCACATTTAAGACATATCTATATCTAAATATTATATCTATATCTAAATGTTAAATGTTATATCTAAATATTATATCTATATCTAAATGTTATATCTATATCTAAATGTTAAATCTAAATGTTAAATCTAAATGTTAAATCTAAATGTTAAATCTAAATGTTAAATCTAAATGTTAAATCTAAATGTTAAATCTAAATTTATATCTATATCTAAATGTTATATCTATATCTAAATATTATATCTATATCTAAATGTTAAATGTTATATCTAAATATTATATCTATATCTAAATGTTATATCTATATCTAAATGTAAATCTAAATGTTAAATCTAAATGTTAAATCTAAATGTTAAATCTAAATGTTAAATCTAAATGTTAAATCTAAATGTTAAATCTAAATGTTAAATCTAAATGTTAAATCTAAATGTTAAATCTAAATGTGTCGCCAAGTGTAAAGCTAAATATATAGAAACCACGCCCACTGCAGTGGCTTCAAATCCAGTGGGCCCGCCTTCCGTGCCGTGTGGTGAGTGGGGGCGGTGCCGCGTGTTTTGAACATAGGAATACACGTGGACCGACGTCACGGCTCAAGGCATGTTGGGTCTCCGGCGCCATCGTCCTTGGCCACGGCACAAAATTAGCATTTTTGTGAAGATTCTTGCTTATTTGCTGGAGCCAGAGTGTATTCACTGTAAACTAAGCCACGTGGAGTCCCGTGAGATTCCTGTGTAATGTAGGGTTCTCACCACACGGCACGGAAGGCGGGCCCACTGGATTTGAAGCCACTGCAGTGGGCGTGGTTTCTATATATTTAGCTTTACACTTGGCGACACATTTAGATTTAACATTAAGATTTAACATTTAGATTTAACATTTAGATTTAACATTTAGATATAGATATAACATTTAGATATAGATATAATATTTAGATATAACATTTAACATTTAGATATAGATATAATATTTAGATATAGATATAATATTTAGATATAGATATAACATTTAGATATAGATTTAACAATTAGATTTAACATTTAGATTTAACATTTAGATTTAACATTTAGATTTAACATTTAGATTTAACATTTAGATTTAACATTTAGATTTAACATTTAGATATAGGTATAACATTTAGATATAGATATAATATTTAGATATAACATTTAACATTTAGATATAGATATAATATTTAGATATAGATATGTCTTAAATGTGAGGAAAATGTGCTAAATGTGAGGAAAGTGAGCTAAATGTAGAAAAATGTTCAGCTAAAAAATTTTAACAGAATTTTTTACAAACGGCACCCCATACTTTCCTTCGAATTCCGTCACTCTTCCCTGCTCCATGGCCATCAACACTTTGCTGATTTTGGCCAGCTCCAGTGTCCCCTCTGGTAGTCTGTAATATTGCCTGTGGATGCGAATGTCATGGCCGAGGAAGTTGGCAAGTATGTCCATCTCATTCTCTTTCATATTGAGAACTGTAGACATAGTAGCTATGTGCTTTCTAAGTTTGGTTGAGGATAGCATCTCTGGATGCACCGCACCACATTCTTTGGCTACCTGCCGTAGGGAGTCTGATCCCCTGATGTGGGTGTCTGCGCCCGGGCGGGAAAAGAAGTATGGGTTATGGTCAGAGATGGAACAGGCCCTTCTGTTCTCCACCAGCACCTCCATCGAAGCAATCATTTCAGGAGTCAAAAGAACCGGCACTTTCCGACTTCTTTTCCCTTTAATTTCAATGCGTTGAAAATGCTGACACAGCTTTTTCTCAAGTTGGGACAGTCCCAGAGCAATGTCAGAATGGATCCCAGTCTTACTTCTTAAGGTAAAGGCTGTCAGTGGCATCTTTGAAACCTCACCTTCCCTTCTTCGATTGAAAATAATGACCTCACAAAGAGTCAAAACTGCCAGTTTAGACCAATGCTTAGACGTTGGCTCACTTATTAGGGTTTGCACATATTCAGGTCGACATACCTCAATATGTGCATGCATGGCTCTAACGTCCTCAGTCAGAGGGAGCAGGTCCGGAGTGTTCCACTTGGCTTGCCGGAGGGTCTGTAGGGCAGCAGAAGAAACACAGACGTCCCACCTCTTCTCAAAAAGCAGCCGGCTTCGTTGGAGGTTTTTAATAAATAGTTCATCAACACAATGCTCCATTTTTGAGTCACATTCAAGAATATCTGCTAGCTTTCTGAGGCTATGGCCGAGTTTGAGGGCCAAGGATGGAGTCTTGTATTGATTTGTTTCCTCATCATATCCAGCCACAGACCTGACTGCATCAATCACATGGTTAAAGTTGGAAGGAATAAAGAAATCCTTAATTGTTTTCAGTTTCCCTGCAGTTTTTGCTTCGTTAATTAACCTACCGACTTCTCTCATTTTCTGCCTAATGTAATCATGCTTAGTCTTATCATGCCCGTGTTTTAAGTACAGGTGCTCTCCGAGTCTCAGAATCCCCTTTTCTGCTTTGACAACACCCGTGACCTCATCCTGATGCATTGCCAAAATTAAAGACCACAGCTTTTTGCTGATGCCCTCCGGTACAGGCTGGGCTAGGGAGCAGAGGGACTGGACCCTACTTCTACCTGGTTTAGCCTGGTTTAGCCTGGTTTAGCCTGGGCATCTTTCTGTGAATGCCGGCACCTGTCCACATGCCTCCACAGCGACTTTCGCTTAAGCAATGCCCCACAGTCTATACAGTGCAAAAACTCACTGGATTTAACTGGGCAATTTGGCTGTTTAGCTGGGACTAAAGTTCCAATGCCGGCCTTTAAAACCTCAAAATTGTGCTCACGGTTTCCACTATTCCTGATCAAATCAAACTGAAGTTTACGTGCTTTAGATTTCACAGGTAGAGCCAATGCTCTGGCTACGTCACTTTCATTTCCATGTTTTCTAGTCAAATGACGGGACATTTTGTGGCAGGACATTGAACAGTAGAGGCAGAAGTGTCTCTTGCTATAAACTCGCCCCCCATTTTTCTTCTTTTGCAGCTGCATGATAACAATCTTATTTGCCTTTGGTTCGTGACTTTCCGAGTCTTGAAGAAAAGTGTTTTTGATTTTTCTTTTTCCATACTTTTTTACAGGTTTCTTCTTGACAGTTAAATCGTCAGAATCTGAGTCGACTTCATCAATTAGGGACTCTTGACTAAGCTGCACAAACAACAAATAATTTGTAATCATTCTATATAACAATTTGAAGTCATGACTTGTAGTCAGCACTTACCAGTGGTTTGTAAGCGTGCGCTTCAGTGTGCTCCTCCATGATTTCTTGCAGCCTAATGAACCACACACTTGCACCTTTTTCTAGCCTGACACCTGATTTCCTCTGTTGTGCTGCTCCATGATTGGCTCCAGCCTGCTGGACTGAAATTGCCCCAGTGTGCCCCTCCTTGATATCCCGCAACCCACCACCAGGGTTCCGACTCATAACACACTTTTTTCAGGAAAGTAAACCTCCAGGGGTCCTTTCCATATTTTTACAGAGACTGCATAAGGACCGTTAGAAAAGCATTACCCATTGATTATTAAGCTTGGACCAGTGGGGTCCGGTGTTCGGGCCCCACCACGTAAAACCAGTCCCCATGACGTGAGTGGAATCTCAGGTTATGGAACCCACCAGGAGTTGAAAACAAGTGCACTTGTACATATACAGAGTGGCACACACAGATACATGTGACCGGTCTAATACAGTACAACACAAGACCATTTTAAAGATATATATTTTATTTGGTCATTTCAAAGTATGCAGTTTTGCTATACTTAATAGCCACTTGTGATGCAACACTGACATTTCCCCACTGTGGGACGAATAAATTGAGTCAATACGTCATGTGCAATGTGCAATACTGCAATTTCAGAATGTCCACTGAATGTCACTTTATGTACTTATCATCCTACTCTATGTGTATATAACTTTACACTAACATACAGATAGAGATATATTGATATTGACGCATTTACAGCTAGCTAAGAAACAAAGCAGCTACTTATTTTGTGTGCTCTACTGTCCTGTATGTGCGCTGCAAGAGGGCACTTTTTATGGCCCCAGGGCAAATCAGCGACAGAAACATCAGGATGAATAGTAATCTGGAGGGTCTCTCTGTCTCTCTCTCTCTGTCTCTCTCTCTGTCTGACGGTCTCTCGTTCTCTGTGTCTCTTTCTATCTGTCTTTCTCTCTGTTTCTCTCTCTCTCTATTTGTCTCTCTGTCTCTCCCCCTATCTGTCTCTTTGTCTGTTTCTCTCACTCTGTCTCTCTCTGTTTCTCTCTCTCCCTGTCTCCCTCTATCTCTCTCTCTCTCTCTCTGTCTGTGTGTCTCTCTCTATCTGTATATTTTTTTTAACATATTTTGTTGTCTCATTACGACACCTACTGATGATGTGTTGTTGAAATATTAATCCTGTTTTTGAGACCAGTTCTGTCTCAATATTCTGTTATGAATATGGTAACTTTATCAAACCAGTGAGAGTAAACGATAGTGTTTCTTTATCATCATGATTTGGACTTTTTTTAATCACTTTTACCTGTCCCACCCTCATGTGTGTCCGTGTGTGTCTTTAAACCCTGTGCTCCTTGTGTTTTTGTTCCTATTTCGTTGTGGTTTGAGTTTGGAGTTTTGTTATAACGAGATATTTGTTTAATTTTGTCTAATAATGCAGTCCTGCACTTTGGGTCCTTCTTCTGTTTTTCAGTATAAAAGCATGGAAAAAAACACGTGTCAGTTTTATTGTTTGATTTTAAGGCAGTAACATTTATTTAACATCTATGACATCCAAGACACTGTGACACATGGATCCAAACATATAGAATAGTTTTCAGCATCCGACTTTCATTTGACAGATGGAGGGAGTGACCGTGTTACAGCTGCGACTGGACCAGCCCTGTCCCACTGCAACACAACAGTTACACATCAGTGACACACAACAGGTCCTCGTTAGTGACACACAACATGTCTTCAAAAGTGACAAACAACAGGTCCTCATACGTGACACACAACAGGTCCTCATTAGTGACACACAAGAGGTCCTCATAAGTGACACACAAGAGGTCCTCATAAGTGACACACAACAGGTCCTCATAAGTGACACACAATAGGTCCTCATAAGTGACACACAACAGGTCCCCATAAGTGACACATAACAGGTCCTCATAAGTGACACACAACAGGTCCTCATTAGTTTGTGTGTGTGTGTTTTATATACTCACAGTTGGAGCTCATCTGCAGACACTTGTGAGACGACCCGGCTCCGCCGCTCGCAAAGTTGAAATAGTCGAAGAAGGAGCCGTCGTGCCATCGCCATGACGACTGCAAACACATTATCACAGGTACAACATTGAGGTACAGTATACAGTGTATGAGTCAGCAGATGTAATGTCCCAGATATATGTATTCCTGTGTTATGCTCAGAGGAAGAAGTTGAGAAAGGGCCATTTGGAGACCGTCTAGCTCCAGACAAACAGTATGTCACTCTGGTTAGTAAGTAAGTAGGTTATTTATGTAGCGCATTTCACAGACCAAAGTCACAAAGCGCTTTACTATTGTGGGCATTTGTCTCCCACTCCACACAGAGATGAGAGCCATAAGGAAGCGCACGTCAGACCTATTACACCCACAATCAATCAATCAAATCTTTATAGTAGAGCACATTCAAAAAACCTATGCTTACAAAGTATCTAATAATGTAAGGTATAGGAGTGTGGTCACAGTAAAGTGTCTATGAAAGTATCTGGACTTTAAAAGGACTCAAAAACTAATATTACTATCATAGACTGGAAAAAAAGATTTCAAACACAGACAAAAGATAGTGTGGATAAAATCAAAAGGAAAGATTGACAAAGATTGACATTTTTGGCAAACTTTGAAATGGTTTGGTTTCACATTTAATTGTTTTACTGTATGAAAATATCACTTTGTTTCTACTCTGTGTAAAAAAAAAAAATCTCTTAATCAAATGTGGATCTGAAAATATGTACCAAACTTCCGCAGCTCATTCTGTCAAATCATCACCTCTGTGACACAGATATACAAATCTGCTATAGACAACTTGATTCATGTTTTAAAAAGTTATGTTCTAGCAACTTCTAATGGACAGAGGAGGTATGAAAAACAAAAATATCTTCTGATTATTAAAATGGTCTTTTGTCAAAAAAAAAATTGTGTTTTTTTCTGGGGCCCCGCCTATAAGCTAATGCAGCCTGGGACTCCCCTTTTACTAAAGTGTGTGTGTGTGTGTGTGACGTTTGTAAATAAAGATAATTAAATTGAATACTTACTTCAAAGTGGTATCCTCCAATCCAGGCGGAGGTGAAGCCTGCGCGGCCGACCATGAACTGGAAGTGGCTGTAGATCATAGGACTGTGCACCGAGGCCAGGGTCCCACCGAGATCTGCACATTCTGCCTGTGATCCCAGAGAACCGGTCACTTTATATAAACTAAAACCAGGGCTTTAAAGCTGGGGGACCAAACTTTCAAACCACAACCATTGAACTACATCATGAAATCCATATTGCTCTCATACAGCTTGGTTCTTAACACTAGTCTTTCACTCAATCAGTGTGCATTTGTAAAAAGAGCCTAGGCTTACCGAGGTGCTGTATAGACAATAAAAACAAAATATATAGGTTATGTACAGATTGAGGCAGCTACAATCTGGGACAGTCTTCCAGAAAATGTGAGACAGGCTTCTACTGTGATTATTTATGACCACTGCTAACCACTGCGCCACCCGTCTCTATTTTCCCGGTTTTAAGGTCGAAGAGAATGTTGTGTCTTTAGGGATTTAAAGATTTTATCAATGTATTTTGTAATTTCTGTCCGATCTGCTTTCTCAGGCAGAAAAGTGAAAAAAAACAAAACAGGACCACCCCCTCTCAACCAATCAGCTCTCAGCCCAAAGCGTCAAATAGTGACTCACAGGGCTCTTTCTCACACAAAAAATAACATGTTTTCTAGCTCCCTATAGTACTGTCACTTTACTTTACTGGGACAAAGTAGTATTTTAAAGAAATTCAGATTTTTAATGCACTTCTTATGTCTATTCATTCTCCTACAACGTCATAGCGTGTGACTTCCTGTTGCTTACAATGGCAATACAAATAATTCTGATTGTGAAAAGTCAGGTACCTCAGCTTTAAGTAGTGGCTAATCCTGTAAACAGAAATAAATGTAGTGAGGATACGTACCGCGGCGGCTCTCCAGGAATTGTAGTTTCTGTTCATTAAGTAGCAGTTTCCACGGAAAAACTCCCATTCGGGCAAACAGAACTGAGAGTGCACTGCAACAATACATGTGTTTTGTGTTTTAGAATGTGGAATAATGTCTGAAGTAGATAATATATGGATAAAAATAGACACAGGGCAAGAGATGACGTCTATCAGCCCCATTAGATGTAGTAGGACTCTAACCCTAGACCCTGATCAGATCGATCAACTCATATGTTTTGAGTCAGATGGACGTTTAAAGAGGGTTTGATTCATCTCTTGTGGTGGAAAATTACTATTATTAATATTAATAACATGAGAAAGTCAAATTACAGACGGATTTTGTGTTCATTTAACATGGTTTTGCCTATAAAGGTGGGTTGATTTAAAATAAAAAAAATTAAAAAAGGTAAATATATCTGTTTTCTCCTCTGTCCTCTCTCTCCTGTCGTCTCTCTTCTTTCTTCTCTCTCTCCTCTCCCCCCTATCTCTTCTCTCTCCTGTCGTCTCTCTTCTTTCTCCTCTCTCCTGTCCTCGTATGAATTGTGCTATACAAATAAACTTGCCTTGCCTTGCCTTGCCTTGCCTTGCCTCTACCCCTGTCCTCTCTCCTCCCCCTCCTCTCTCTTGCCCTCTCCCCCTCCTCTCTCCTGCCCCTCTCTCCTTTCTCTCCTCTCTCTCCTTCTTCTCCCCTCTCTCCTTTCCCATTCTCTCTCCTCTCTCCTGTCCTCTCCTCTTCTCTTTCCTCTCTCCTGTCCTCCCTCTCCTCTCCTCCTCCCCTCCTTGTTCCTCTCTCCTGTCCTCTCTCCCCATCCTCTCTATTCTCTCTCCTCTCTCTTCTCCCTCTCCTCTCTTCCTCCTCTCTCCTCTTCCCTATCTTTCCTCTCCCTCCTCTCCGTCCTCTCTCAGCAAACACACCGGAGTCATTGATCCATCGTCAGAACTATTAGCATAAGGGCGCAGATAAACACAGCTTCAGGTCAGTATTGGTTGCTTTACCTTGAGGGTCCAGAGGAGGCAGCTCTTCGACGTCTGTGGAGAAAAGATTGGTTTTATTTAATACTATTGATGTAAATAAACAGTGTCGGTTCAACAGTACGACAGATACAAGATAAGAAATATATGGATTATAATATAACCTGGTTGAGGTTCTTTCACTTCCTCCAGAACATCTTCTCCTGGAACCACTAAAAAGAGAAAAAATCATAATCAAAAAAGTACTATAGTATATAAAACCGAAGCATTATTAATATTGAAAACTAAAATTATAAGTGTGACTTCTGCATGTGTGGACAGTAGTGTGTTTCCAGGAGGTTGGTACCTGGTTCTTTCTCTTCCACCATCTGCTCTGGGACTTCCTCTGCTGCTCAAACGACAACAAAAGGACTGATTAGAAAAAGGTGGAAAGACACTAAAAAATATGTGTGAAATATGTTTGGTTTCAGATTTTATGAGACTGGGTTAAAAAAAGACTTAAGAAAATTAACTGAAATTCAGGATTGATGTGTTTCTGCTGTATATAGTGTACGTACTGTATATGTGTGTGAGTGTGTGTATAGTATATATATATATATATATATACATGTGTGTGTGTATAGAGTATAAACGAGCGTGAATGCGTGAGTATATAGAGTATATATGTGTGTGTATGTGTATAGAGTTTTTAAGTGTGTGTGTGTGTGCCTGTATAAAGTATATATGTTTGTGTCTGTGCATTCTGTATGTATATAGTGCTTGTAAAGAGTATATATGTGTGTCTGTGTTTTGCTCAGCACTTTGCATTGCCTCGTGTGTGCACCGTGCTATACAAATAAAACCTGCCTTGTCTATGAAGTTCATGAAATATATTTTGGAACTACACTGATTTTGAAAGAAAAACAGTGACGTCGCCTGGCATGGCGCAGCCGGGGCCCCACCCTGGAGCCAGGCCTGGGGTCGGGGCTCGTATGCGAGCGCCTGGTGGGCCTTAGCCCACGGGGCCGGCCGGGCTCAGCCCGAAAGGACGACGTGGGCAGTCCCTCCTGTGGGCCCACCACCTGCAGTGACACTTGGAGAGGGGTGATCAGGAAGAACGGCCCCCCTGATCTGAACCCGAGCGGTGTTCAGTTGTTGGACTTCTGTGCCCGTCACAGTTTGTTCATCACGAACACCATGTTCGAGCACAAGGGTGTCCACCAGTGAACGTGGCACCAGGACACCCTAGGCCGGAGGTCGATGATCGACTTTGTTGTTGTATCATCTGACCTTCGACCGCGTATCTCGGACACTCGGGTGAAGAGAGGGGCGGAGCTGTCAACCGATCACCACCTGGTTGTGAGTTGGATCCGCTGGTAGGGCAGGAGGCCGGTCAGACCTGGCAGGCCCAAGCGTGTAGTGAGGGTCTGCTGGGAACGTCTCGCTGAGCCCCCTATCAGACGGACTTTCAACTCACACCTCCGGGAGAGCTTCTCCCAGGTCCCGGCAGAGGAGGGGGACATGGAGTCCGAGTGGACCATGTTCTCTGCCTCTATCGCCGATGCGGCGGCTCGTAGCTGTGGTCGCAAGGTCTCTGGTGCTGGTCCCGGTGGCAACCCCCGAACCCGGTGGTGGACACCGGCAGTAAGGGATGCCGTCAGGCTGAAGAAGGAGTCCTATCGAGCCATGATGGTTCGGGGGACTCCTGAGGCAGCTGTCCAGTACCGGCAGGCCAAGCGTGCCGCGGCCCGGGCTGTTGCAGAGGCAAAAACCCGGGTCTGGGAGGAGTTTGGAGACTCCATGGAGCAGGACTATCGGTCGACCTCGAAGACATTCTGGCAAACCGTCCGGCGCCTCAGGAGGGGGAAGCAGTGCTTTGCCAACACTGTGTACGGTGCGGGTGGAGAGCTGCTGACCTCGACTGGGGATATTGTCGGGCGGTGGAAGGAATACTTTGAGGTTCTCCTCAATCCCCCCATCACATCCTCTGTTTCAGAGGCTGAGGATGTTGGGGCGGACACATCCATCTCCCTGGCTGAGGTCACCAAGGTGGTTGGTAGCCTCCATGGTGGCGAGGCTCCGGGTGTGGATGAGATCCGTCCTGTCTATCTAAAGTCTCTGGATGTTGTGGGACTGTCTTGGCTGACACGTCTCTGCAACATTGCGTGGCGATCGGGGGCGGTGCCGATGGAGTGGCAGACCGGGGTGGTGGTCCCTCTCTACAAGAAGGGGGACCGGAGGGTGTGTTCCAATTATCGTGGGATCACACTCCTCAGCCTCCCTGGTAAGGTTTACTCCAAGGTACTGGAGAGGCGGCTACGACCAATGGTCGAATCTTGGATTCAGGAGGAGCAGTGTGGTTTTCGTCCCGGCCGCGGAACACTGGACCAGCTCTATACTCTCCATCGGATACTCGAGGGTTCATGGGAGTTCGCCCAACCTGTCCACATGTGCTTTGTGGATTTGGAGAAGGCGTTCGACCGTGTTCCCTGGGGTGTTCTTTGGGGGGTTCTCCGGGAGTACGGGGTCAGAGGTCCTCTGCTGAGGGCCATCCGATCCCTGTATGACCGGAGCCAGAGCTGTGTTCGCATTGCCGGCAGTAAGTCAGACCTGTTCCCGGTGCATGTTGGCCTCCGCCAGGGCTGCCCTTTGTCACCGGTTCTGTTCACTGTATTCATGGACAGAATTTCTAGGCGCAGCCAGGGGCCGGAGGGGGTCCGGTTCGGGGACCACAGGATTTCATCTCTGCTGTTTGCGGACGATGTTGTCCTGTTGGCTCCAACGAACCAGGACCTGCATTATGCACTGGGGCGGTTTGCAGCCGAGTGTGAAGCAGCTGGGATGAGAATCAGCACCTCCAAATCCGAGGCCATGGTGCTCGACCGGAAAAAGGTGCCTTGCTCTCTTCAGGTGGGTGGAGAGGTCCTTCCTCAAGTGGAGGAGTTCAAGTATCTCGGGGTCTTGTTCACGAGTGAGGGAATGATGGAACGTGAGATTGACAGGCGGATCGGTGCAGCGTGCGCAGTGATGCGGTCGCTGTATCGGACCTTTGTGGTGAAGAGGGAGCTGAGCCGAAAGGCAAACCTCTCGATTTACCGGTCAATCTTCGTTCCCTCCCTCACCTATGGTCATGAACTTTGGGTAATGACCGAAAGAACGAGATCGCGGATACAAGCGGTCGAAATGAGCTTCCTCCGCAGAGTGGCTGGGCGCTCCCTTAGAGATAGGGTGAGGAGCTCAGTCACACGGGAGGAGCTCGGAGTAGAGCCGCTGCTTCTCCACGTCGAGAGAGTTGAGGTGGCTCGGGCATCTGTTCCGGATGCCTCCTGGACGCCTCCCTGGGGAGGTGTTCCGGGCACGTCCCACCGGGAGGAGGCCCCGGGGAAGACCCAGGACACGCTGGAGGGACTATGTCTCTCTCTGGCCTGGGAACGCCTTGGAGTCCCCCCGGACGAGCTGGAGGAAGTGTGTGTGGAAAGGGAAGTCTGGGCGTCTCTGCTTAGACTGCTGCCCCCGCAACCCGGCAACGGATGAAGCGGAAGAAAACGGACGGACGGACGGACTGATTTTGAAACAATACTTTTACCTGTAGCTTTGAACGCCACTGCAGCGAAAAGAAGGAAAATCACCACGGATTTCATTGTTGAGTCTGTGGGAGAAAAAAGTTAGTTATTATAATAATCAAAGCTGGGTCTGAGAGCTGATTGGCTGACAGAGGGGGGGCCTGTATGTTTTACTTTTCTGTCTGAAAAAGCTGATCTAAAGATGTGAAAAAGGTATAAAATACAGGAATGTGAAAACTAGTGATAGACGCAAACAAGGAAGTAGATTTGATCACATACTGTAGGTCATTTTTTGTGGTTTGAAAGTTAGGTACCCGAGCTTTAGAAGAGAAACTGGACCATACAGAATCTTTATCTCCAGGATTAATGTGGAAACAAAATACTTCCTCTTTGACTTTAGCACAAACACATATGAGATGTCCTTTTACCACCACTGCTATGTTTGTTAAAGCTATCTATATATAAATTGCAGTAGTTGATGTAGTTGTAGTAGTAGCAGCAGTAGTCGTAGTAGTTGTAGTAGTAGTAGTAGCAGCAGTAGTCGTAGTAGTTGTAGTAGTAGCAGCAGCAGTAAAGCTAAAAAGCGAATACAGTAACACTTATTTTAAAGTTAACTTACTCTCTTGCTCCCTCAGACGCCTTACGATTAAATAGTAGAAATAGTAGTACTGGTAGTATCAGTAGTAGTAGTAGCAGCAGTGCGGGTAGTATCAGCAGTAGTAGTAGAAGTAGCAGTAGCAGTAGTAGCGCTTTGATTCTGGGGAAATCTCTTCGTTCTTTTATACTTGTAGTTTTCCTCTTATCACATGGACTTCACACTCCTGAAACCACATTTATTACTTACCGGAGAATGATAAAATGACTTTACTTTACGATCCATCAGGAACTCATTATGTTTTGAAGCAACACACTGACCTACTCACAGTATGTCCGTATGTTTATAACAATATTTACTATTGTGACAGAAGTATTGATAGAAAATCCTAAACGTCTCCGATGGACAAGTGTTAAAAATTAGCATGGTCTTTCAAGAAGAAGAAGAAGAAGGAGAAGAGGAAGGAGAAGGAGAAGGAGAAGAGGAAGAAGGAGAAGAGGAAGGAGAAGGAGAAGGAGAAGAAGGAGAAGAGGAAGGAGAAAGAGAAGGAGAAGGAGAAGAGGAAGGAGAAGGAGAAGGAGAAGGAGAAGAAGGAGAAGAAGAAGGAGAAGAAGAAGAAGAAGTAGAAGTAGAAGTAGAAGAAGAAGAAGCAGAAGAAGAAGAAGTAGAAGTAGAAGTAGAAGTAGAAGAAGAAGAAGTAGAATAAGAAGAAGCAGAAGTAGAAGTAGAAGCAGAAGTATAATAAGAAGTAGAAGAAGTAGAAGTAGAAGAAGAATAAGCAGAAGAAGTAGAAGAAGAAGAAGTAGAAGTAGAAGAAGAAGAAGCAGAAGCAGAAGTAGAAGTAGAAGTATAATAAGAAGTAAAAGAAGAAGTAGAAGTAGAAGAAGAAGAAGAAGAAGTAGAAGTAGAAGCAGAAGTATAATAAGAAGTAAAAGAAGAAGCAGAAGCAGAAGTAGAAGTAGAAGTAGAAACTTGTATAGCACCTTTTTGGACTCTCAAAGACATAAAATGACACGGGGAGTAAAATAAATAATAACAGTTGTCCAATGTAACTGTTGTGTCCATATCAAATAAACAAATAAAAACACTCCACATTTTGCAGAGTGACATATTTATATTACTAAGAGTGAGGGAATAGTCAATGTCTGGTGTAATTGACTTGATATTTATAAAAATAATAACATACAAACCAGGAGAAAGGTTTATTATGGATTTTTATTATTCTCATGTTTATTATCATTTTAGTTTTTCATTTTTTTTTCTTGTTAATCTGCTGTCTGCCATTTTTTGTGAATTTGAACTGAGGACTCCCTCAAAAACGAGATGGTTCATCTTGAGGGGCTATTCTTCTTATTGATAATAGTAAAGAAACTGTGAATAAATAATCAAAACATCTAAATCTAATTTTCTCTGTGGGACAAATTGAGGAATCTGTCTTGTGTTGTTCAGCACTTTGAGTTGCTCTGTGTATGAACTGTGCCATACAAATAAACTTGCCTTGCTTCCAGGTCTTGCCAAACCAGCACTTGGTAAAAATACTGTCCTCCAACTTTTTTAAATTTATTTTATTGCCATTTTACCCCACTCTTTCTGCATACGTAAACTTTAAATGTGGGTCGATTACAAAACAGGAAATTACACTAATATTCTTATAATAGTAAAACCAAAAAACCTCCACCAGAAAATCCATCTGATCCAGGTCTGGGTCCGGTCTAAACCAGGACTGAGTCTGCGGTAAGTCCAAGTCTAGACAAGGAGCAGCGGTCGTCGTAATCACAGTCGAAGCTGTAATCTTCAAAGATAAAGACGAATAAGTGAGAAAGGACTGAGATAAGAGTTTAAATGTGAGGATAATAAACATATTTACAGATAAACAGTCAGTGTCGTAAAAGCAGAAGAGGAACCAGGAAAGACTGCTGTAAAGTCAGTCCAGCTTATTTTTATAGTTTTATGTTTATCTTTATCCTGCAGGAGGGACTCAGGAAACTCCCAAACTGTCTCTTTATGGTCGACAAGTTTCAACAAAATAAAGAACAATCATATAATAGTTACAAATATTTATACACTTTAAAACATAGTTATCCAGGACATTTTTGGACAACTATGGACATATATGGACTTTTATGGACATATTTAATCCGTAAATTTGGACATATACAGTGGGGCAAAAAAGTATTTAGTCAGCCACCGATTGTGCAAGTTCTCCCACTTAAAATAATGACAGAGGTCTGTAATTTTCATCATAGGTACACTTCAACTGTGAGAGACAGAATGTGAAAAAAAATCGAGGAATTCACATTGTAGGATTTTTAAAGAATTTATTTGTAAATTATGGTGGACAATAAGTATTTGGTCAGTTCAAACAAGGAAGATCTCTGGCTCTTACAGACCTGTAACTTCTTCTTTAAGAAGCTCTTCTGTCCTCCACTCGTTAGCTGTATTAATGGCACCTGTTTGAACTCGTTATCTGTATAAAAGACACCTGTCCACAGCCTCAAACAGTCAGACTCCAAACTCCACTATGGCCAAGACCAAAGAGCTGTCGAAGGACACCAGGAAAATAAGACCTGCACCAGACTGGGAAGAGTGAATCTACAATAGGCAAGCAGCTTGGTGTGAACAAATCAACTGTGGGAGCAATTATCCGAAAATGGAAGACATACAAGACCACTGATAATCTCCCTCGATCTGGGGCTCCACGCAAGATCTCATCCCGTGGGGTCAAAATGATCATGAGAACGGTGATCAAAGATCCCAGAACCACACGGGGGGACCTGGTGAATGACCTGCAGAGAGCTGGGACCAAAGTAACAAAGGAACCATCAGTAACACACTACGACGACAGGGAATCAAATCCTGCAGTGCCAGACGTGTCCCCCTGCTGAAGCCAGTGCATGTCCAGGCCCGTCTGAAGTTTGCCAGAGAGCACATGGATGATACAGCAGAGGATTGGGAGAATGTCATGTGGTCAGATGAAACCAAAGTAGAACTGTTTGGTATAAACTCAACTCGTCGTGTTTGGAGGAAGAAGAATACTGAGTTGCATCCCAAGAACACCATACCTACTGTGAAGCATGGGGGTGGAAACTTCATGCTTTGGGGCAGTTTTTCTGCTAAGGGGACAGGACGACTGATCCGTGTTAAGGAAAGAATAAATTGGGCCATGTATCATGAGATTTTGAGCCTAAACCTCCTTCCATCAGTGAGACCTTTGAAGATGAAACGTGGCTGGATCTTCCAGCATGACAATGATCCCAAACACACCGCCCGGACAACGAAGGAGTGGCTCCGTAAGAAGCATTTGAAAGTCCTGGAGTGGCCTAGCCAGTCTCCAGACCTCAACCCCATTGAAAATCTGTGGAGGGAGTTGAAAGTCCGTGTTCACTGCTCTCGAAGATCTGCATGGAGGAATGGGCCAAAATACCAGCTACTGTGCGTGCAAACCTGGTACAGACCTATAGTAATCGTTTGACCTCTGTAATTGCCAACAAAGGTTATATTACAAAGTATTGAGTTGATTTTTTGTTATTGACCAAATACTTATTGTCCACCATAATTTACAAATAAATTCTTTAAAAATCCTACAATGTGAATTCCTGGATTTTTTTTCACATTCTGTCTCTCACAGTTGAAGTGTACCTACGATGAAAATTACAGACCTCTGTCATTATTTTAAGTGGGAGAACTTTCACAATCGGTGGCTGACTAAATACTTTTTTTTCCCCACTGTATCGACAACTATGGAAATGTATGGACGGACATTTACGGACATTTATGGACTTAAAATAAATTAAATAAATTAGAATAAAAAAATATATAGAATAAATTCATTAATAAATTGTCCCATTTAAAAAATACATGATACATTTTTACTCTCCTCAAACAGGCAGTATGGGCTGAGTAGCAGTCTCGCTACTCAGCAAGAAGGTCCTGAGTTTGAATCCCAGTCAGACCAGGGTCTTTCTGAGTGGAGTTAGCATAGTATGTTCTCCCAGTGTCTGTGTAGGTTCCCTCTGGGTGCTCCGGTTTCCCCTACCATTAAAAACATGTACAATAGGTCTGGCATGTGGCCCTGTACTGGCCTCGCTCCCATCTCTGTGTGGAGTGAGAGACAAATGCCCAAAAAACAAAAAAACTATTGTAAAGTGGTTGGTAACTCTGGTCTGTGAAATGCGTTTTATAAATAAATATGACTTACTTACGCGCAGTGAAGACCGACCCATGTTTGAATAAAGTTACTGTGAAGACCAGTTTGTTTTGGTTCGTAAACTAATAACAAAAGATCAGACACCCTCTTTTGCTTTTCTCCACGGCAAAAATACATGATGCAAATTGACTGTGCAAAGCTGCAGGATCGTCCATGTATCGCGGATTCAGGAACGGAGAAGTGTCAGATTCATTGACTTCATTTGCCGTAAAACCACATTGGAGTAACTGTACAAGTGTAGTATATAACAGAGGTCTCTTCTGATGATTGTTCTCAGATAAATCTCTGCATTAATAGTAAGAATGTGTTGGATTTATTCAGTATAAAAAGTTTATACATTTATCATTATTATTTTGAACATGTATCATTCTTGTCTATGTTCAATTTAACATTATTTATTTATCTATTTTGGAGTTTTTGTTATGTATCTTTTAGTATCTTGCTTTGGTTTTGTAACTCGTCATGTAGGAAATGAAAATAGAAATTAAAAATGTAACAAAAAAATGTAAATAATAAAATAGTATATTGTAATGACCAATATTGATCTCTAAATGTGTTTTAAAAAATCACACAAATTCACAGTATAAATATTGTTTGGCTCCCACAGAAATACATGTTAAAGAATAATACTTTATTGCCCCGCGACCCGGCAACGGATAAAGTGGAAGAAAATGGATGGATAAACTTGTTTGCTTCTCGCTGCTAAAAAGTTTCCCGGTCTTTGTTATAAAAGTGTTGAATGGTTTGTTGTGAATCAGTCATTTTCCTGGAAGCAACATTTCCAGATCAGCAGAAGACAAAACACTGTGTAATGATCCCAGGGCGCCGACTAGTGGACAGGACGCAGAACTGCAGTACAAAATAGAAAATAAAAATAACATATCCTGCGTTTTCTCCTCTCGATTCTCCAAAGAAATGGACCAAAGTGAATTAAACTTTGCAAGGATTTGGTGATGAGAAAAAAAGCAAAAACAAAAAACGCTCTTATAACATTTGATGAAGCTTTTATTGAAACATGGCTTAAGCAGAGGTCTGGGGCCCTTTAGACCAGTGGGGCCCTTCAGACCAGTGGGGCCCTTTAGACCAGTGGGGCCCTTTAGACCAGTGGGGCCCCGGACAAACTGGGGTAATATGAGCAGGTGTGAAAATCGTTGTAATCTTTAAATAAATGAACAGGTGTCAATCAAACAGTTTTAACATCATCGATAAGTTCAATATGATTTCAGTTAATGTTAAATCTCAGTAAAGTCATAATCTTCATCCTGTACAAAACATGTCTTTGTTTCTTGTTTTTACCACATATTTAGATTCACTTTATTACAGGGAGAACATGGATGGATCTGGTTCAGGTCCTGATTCTCATGTGATCGACCAGGATCAGGATCAAGACCAGTCCAACGAGCGCCGAGAGAACGAGACGAACCGTGATCTCAGTGTGACACCAGCTGCACTCTGCACACACACAACAGGTGATCAGAATCAGAATCAGAATCAGAATCAGAATCATTTTTATTGCCACGTAAGTAACAGGAAGTCACAGACTTGGAAATTGCTTTGGCTCAGTGCAACAGTCAGAAAGAGATAATAAAAAATAAAGAATAAAAAACACAATAAATTTAAATTTAAAATAGAGTTACAGTTACTATTTACAATATACAAGTGCACATGGTGCACACAATGTAAGGTGACAGCAGCACATGGTGCACACAATGTAAGGTGACAGCAGTACAGTGAAGTAAAGTGACGTATGATGGGCAGTAAAGTGACTTTATAAAGGGCGGGGGGACAGGTTAAGAAGTGTTCAAGAGTCCAACAGCAGAGGGGAAGAAACTGTTCTTGTGGCGGGAGGTTCTAGTCCTGATGGACCGCAGCCTCCTGCCTGAGGGGAGTGGTTGGAATAGTCCATGTGCAGGTGAGAGGGGAGTGGTTGGAATAGTCCATGTGCAGGGTGAGAGGGGTCGGCTGTGATACGACCAGCCCGGCCTCGAGCTCGGCCGACGTACAGGTCCTGCAGCGATGGAAGGCTGCGGCCGATCACTTCCTCTGCAGAGCGCACAATGCACTGTAATCTCTGTTTGTCCCTGACTGTGGCTCCAGCGAACCACACAGTGATGGAGGAGGTGATGGAGGAGGTGATGGAGGAGGTGATGGAGGAGGTGATGGAGGAGGTGAGGATGGACTCGATGATGGCCGTGTAGAACTGCACCAACATCTGTGCAGGCAGCTTGGCTTTCCTGAGCTGCCGCAGGAAGTACATCCTCTGCTGGGCCTTCTTGATGAGGGAGCTGATGGTCGGCTCCCACTTGAGGTCCTGGTGATGGTGGTGCCCAGGAAACGGAAGGACTCCACAGAGGTGATGGGGGAGTCCATCACGGAGGGTGGGGGCGGGGGGACAGTGCTCTTCCTGAAGTCCACAATCATCTCCACTGTCTTCTGGGCGTTCAGCTCCAGGTTGTTACCACTGCACCAGGACACCAGCCGGTCCACCTCCCTCCTGTAGGCGGACTCATCCTTGTTGGAGATGAGTCCAATGAGGGTGGTGTCGTCCGCGAACTTGATCAGCTTCACGGAGTCGTGGCTGGAGGTGCAGTGGTTGGTGTACAGGGAGAAGAGCAGGGGAGAAAGAACACAGCCCTGTGGGGCTCCTGTATTTATAATCCGAGAGTCCGAGAGATTCTTCCCCAGACGCACTCGCTGCTTCCTGTCCGTCAGGAAGTCAGTGATCCACCTGCAGGTGGAATCGGGCACGTTGAGCTGGGAGAGCTTGTCCTGGAGCAGGGATGGCAGGATTGTGTTGAAGGCAGAGCTGAAGTCCACGAACAGGACCCTGGCGTAGGTCCCCGGGGAGTCCAGGTGCTGTAGGATGTGGTGGAGGGCCAGGTTAATGGCGTCGTCTACAGATCTGTTGGCTCTGTAGGCGAACTGCAGGGGGTCCAGGAGGGGGGAGGTGAGGGACTTGAGATGGGAGAGAACCAGGCGTTCAAATGACTTCATGACGACAGACGTAAGTGCTACAGGTCTGTAGTGGTCCGGGCCAGGAGCTTTGCGGGGGTGCAGCCTCAAGAAGAGTTGTTTGATATCTTTAGAGGCTATTGTCAGGCTGGGGGCAGAGCTGATGGGTGGGTCGTTAGAGTAGTGGGGGGTGGGGGAGGTGCCAGGGGCAGCATTAGCCTGGCCATAGCCATCCGTACACTCCGCTCAATCATCATTTCACTGCATGTAACGTCTGGGTCTGGTCCCTGTGTTAGCGAATACAATCGTCGTATTTCGACCGGCTACTCAGAGAGAGCGGGAGGCGGGTGTTGTAGGTCGGTGCCGGTGACGTCAAGAGTTTGCGCCGAACGGGCAGGTTGTAGTTTGGCAATGGCGAAGAATGCGATAGTAAAGTAATCCGGTCTGGTTCTATCAAGAAATTGAAGCCGTAGCAAGAGGAATGTTTAGCAAATGTAATCGCTGGTCAAGATTGTGGCGCTACTCCCCACGGGCTCCGTTAGCAGCAAAGGAGATGGCTAAAGCTAGGCTAAATGCTAAATGCTAAAAACACACTCGGGCGCATTACATACGTCACGGTAAACTCAGATCCAATCGTTTCAATCTGCAAAAGGAGTTAACCCCTCCCACCTGTAAATGGAGCTCAATGGAGCAAATCCAGACCTTAGTATGAAATGTAATTTGTACTAAGGTGTGGTACAACCAGGCTAGGGCAGCATCAAAGCGACTGAAAAAAAGGTTCAGGTCGTCAGCTAGCTTGTGGTCGTCAGCACAGACGACCACTGTTGATACACAACAGGTGACACACAACACGTGCCAGACACACATGTTCACATCTCAAATAAAAATCAACTTGAAACTAGACACACCAGCAACATTTTAAAAGAAAATCCACATTATCCACAGATAGACTGCTCTTGAATATAAGCCGCAGGTTTTCATGTTGTGATGAAGCAGAGACTGTTTGAACTAGTTAGCGTCCATCATTCTCCTTAATCTTTTTCAACATTAAACAAGATACACTTGTTCTGAAAACAGCCAAATTCCACAATAAAAACACTGTATTAGCCGCATCGTTACATAAGCCGCAGGGTTCAAAGAAGTTGAATAAAGTCGCAGCTTATCTTATATAATGAGGGTAATTGTTTGATAATGCAGGGCGACAGTAGCTCAGTTGGTAGAGCATTGGCCTTAAGCCCAGAAGGTCGTGGGTTCAATTCCCACCTCTGCACCTTCTCCATCGACTCCCACTGATGACTGCTGTCGTTGTGTCCTTGGGCAAGACACTTAACCCCACTTTGCCCAAAGCCCCCACTGAAAGATCAAGGCTATGCTCACACTCAGAGAGCAGCCGTCCTCCTGTGGACTCACCACCTGCAGAGGGTCAGTGAGGGGCTGGTGCTATGAGACTTGGGTGGCATCTCTGACTGTCATCCCCCTGACCCAGAAATGGATTAAAGGGTAGAAAATGGATGGATGGATGGATGTTTGATAATGCAGTGAAATTAAGATAGAACCTGAGTATTTACCTTATGTGGCCTGTTTCAGCAGAAGCACAGAGAGAGCCACCAGTAAGCGGTAAAGCAGTTTGAGCACTGGTGCTGTGTCTGTGATGCGCGTTTGCTGACCTCGGCTCTTCAGCGCCTCCTCTGGCTGAAACGTGACGTTGCGTTTCTCCACAGGGTTCTGCACTTCACAGACGAAGGCGCTGGTTTCACCGAGCTGCAGCTTCAGGGTCAGAGAGAGTGTGGGGGACTCTGGACTGGATGTAGTCTGGAGCAGGACTTCCCCTTTGAACCAGGACAGACTCAGGTTTCTGCTGTTCTCTGTGGAGCAGTCGACCAGGAGCGGACAGCAGCCTCCTCCAGGAGACTTCACCGAGACTGAGGGCGACGAGAGCCGAGCTGGAGAGGGAGAAGAACATCTCAAAACATACAATTTTGTCATGTTTACCAGTAAAAGATTAAGATGATAATTTGGCTAATTTACCCGAATGCCAATTTTAACATCAGGTAGCTTTTGTCCTTTATATGGACATTTGTTCTAACAGGATTAGCTTTGATAAAAACTAGTCTAGAGGAAAACTGATGTGTTGCTAACATGTTTGCTAAGGCAAGCTGATTAAAGGCCTCTGATCGGTCAACCCTTATACGGCTCATTTCTGGATTTACAAAGACTAAAATACCAGGATCATAGAAAGTGTAAAATCATGTAGTATTTAAGCACAAAAAGGTGAGTGTGACACAAACTGGGGTTCCTTGAGCTCGGGGGTTAGCATTGTCCTTCTATATACGAGAATGTGTGACAAGAACTGCTGAGTCTGTACAGATGTCACTGATAGTTCACTATAGTAATTTAGTTAGCTAACTAACTTAACTTAGTTAGCTGTTAGTATGACTGTATTATTACACATCCATCTGATATATCTGCCATTCACAAGCCACTTTACCTGTTGATATTATGTCTGATATTTATTCTGTTCATATGCATATTCCCATATTCTCCGCTGCTAAAGTACATAGACATGTGTAAATACTTTTGAACCAAGTGCAATTATATCCCAGAGTTTATTTTATTTTATTATTTTCTTAATTGTATTGTCTATTATCTTAAATAATAGACTTATTTGATGTGTGCAATCTGAGTGCTCTTATTTCCTTTCTCTGCTGTAATGTGTGCAACGATGACACTGACATTTCTCCACTGTGAGACTAATAAAGATTCATCTTATCTAATCTTTATACAGTCTGTGCAACCAGCCCAAGGACTACAGCCCGGTCCAAGGCATCTATCTTTCTTGTTCAAAGTAATCAACGCTGGTGGAGCCAATTACAGCAGAGGGCGCTGTGGGGGTCCCTCCTGCCACATGGAGCTTAGAAGAAGGTGCGGCACAGAGGACAAACTGTCATTATCATGTCACTTGTTACTACAGAAAAGGTATCACTTCAGTCATCTACTCTATGTTTTGTTATTATTTAACTTGTTAATATTATATATATATATTATTGTACTGTTTCTTCACAATTGAACCTTAAAGACACGCATTATTACAACGGCAAAGCAGCCTCACAAACACTAGTTTCTACCACTCCAGCCGTATATACAGTGCCTTGCGAAAGTATTCGGCCCCCTTGAACCTTTCAACATTTTGCCACATTTCAGGCTTCAAACATAAAGATAAAAAAAAATTGTCAAGAATCAACAAGTGGGACACAATCGTGAAGTGGAACAAAATTTATTGGATAATTTAAACTTTTTTAACAAATAAAAAACTGAAAAGTGGGGCGTGCAATATTATTCGGCCCCCTTGCGCTAATACTTTGTAGCGCCACCTTTTGCTGCAATTACAGCTGCAAGTCGCTTGGGGTATGTCTCTATCAGTTTTGCACATTGAGAGACTGGAATTCTTGTCCATTCTTCCTTGCAAAACAGCTCGAGCACGGGCAGCACGGTGGCTGAGTGGATAGCACTCTCGCCTCTCAGCAAGAAGGTCCTGGGTTCGAATCCCGGTTGGACCAGGGCCTTTCTGAGTGGAGTTTGCATGTTCTCCCCGTGTCCGCGTAGGTTTCCTCCGGGTGCTCCGGTTTCCCCTACCATTAAAAATATGTACAATAGGTCTGGCATGTAACTCCTGTACTGGCCCCGCTCCCAAAAAAAAAATCACAATTGTAAACCGCTTTGAGACTCCTATGTGCAGTGAAAAGGCGATATATAAATAAAGATTACTTACTACTACTACTACTCGAGCTCAGTGAGGTTCGATGGAGAGCGTTTTTGAACAGCAGTCTTCAGCTCTTTCCACAGATTCTCGATTGGATTCAGGTCTGGACTTTGACTTGGCCATTCTAACACCTGGATACGTCTATTTGTGAACCATTCCATTGTAGATTTGGCTTTATGTTTTGGATCATTGTTGTTGGAAGATAAATCTCTGTCCCAGTCTCAGGTCTTTTGCAGACAGGTTTTCTTCCAGAATGGTCCTGTATTTGGCTCCATCCATCTTCCCATCAATTTTAGCCATCTTCCCTGTCCCTGCTGAAGAAAAGCAGGCCCAAAGCATGATGCTGCCACCACCATGTTTGACAGTGGGGATGGTGTGTTCAGGGTGATGAGCTGTGTTGCTTTTACGCCAAACATATCCTTTTGCATTGTGGCCAAAAAGTTTGATTTTGGTTTCATCTGACCAGAGCACCTTCTTCCACATGTTTGGTGTGTCTCCCAGGTGGCTTGTGGCAAACTTTAAAGACTTTTTATGGATATCTTTGAGAAATGGCTTTCTTCTTGCCACTCTTCCATAAAGGCCAGATTTGGGCAGTGCACGACTGATTGCTGTTCTATGGACAGACTCTCCCACCTCAGCTGTAGTTATCTGCGGTTCATCCAGAGTGATCATGGGCCTCTTGGCTGCATCTCTGATCAGTCTTCTCCTTGTTTGAGATGAAAGTTTGGAGGGACGGCCGGGTCTTGGTAGATTTGCAGTGGTCTGATACTCCTTCCATTTCAATATAATTGCTTGCACAGTGCTCCTTGAGATGTTTAAAGCTTGGGAAATCTTTTTGTATCCAAATTCGGCTTTAAACTTCTCCACAACAGTATCTCGGACCTGCCTGGTGTGTTCCTTTGTCTGCATGGTTCTCTCTGTGCTTTAAACAGAACCCTGAGACTACTTCTTCTTCTTCGTGTGCATTTTCGGCAGGCTAGACGCCGCTAGGCGTATTGCTGCCTTCCACAGTCAGTCAGTGGAACTGCATCAAGGGAAAATCTTCACATGAAGATTAGTGGAAGAAATAAACTCCATCACAGCAGCAATGATCTCACGCCGATTTGTCTGTGGATTGAGCAGGGTCTTCAATGACACACTGTCAACCCCCGTTCCCAGCACAACTTTAAACATTTGGCATCGCTCCTGCTTGTAGCATACACACTCCATTAGTACATGACGAACAGTCTCTTCTTTCCCGCCGCACTCACAAAGTCCATTTGGTCTCTTTCCCATAAGAACAAGATCTGGGGCAAACCCACAGTGTCCCAGTCTGAGTCTTGTATATATTACTTGCTCCCTTCTGCTCTTTCCCCAGGTGATGTCTCCCCCCCTGACACTGCTCTGAACCAAATAAAAATGCCTCCCCCTTTCCTCTACATCCCACGCACTCTGCCATCTGCGCCCAATCTCCTGTCCTATCATTACACAGAGCTCGGTGTATCCCAACGTTGTTAAAACAGTAACATTCTCCAAATTCAAGGCTTTCTTCGCAATAGAGTCTGCACTTTCATTTCCAGCAACTCCCACATGAGCCGGCACCCACATGAAGGCTACTGAAATGCCTATCGCCTCAGCTCTATACAGAGCCATAAGAATTTCCGAAATTATGTCCTGTCTTGCGTGGGACACTCCTGCTTGCAGCGCCATCAGAGCAGCTGCAGAGTCTGTACAGATTAACGCTTGCTGAGGACAAATCTTACCTACCCACTCCAACGCACCCAGAATCGCTATTGTTTCTGTGGTAAAAACTGACACCCCATCTGGGAGCCGATGTCCCCGACTTACACCAACCTCAGGAATGTGGACAGCAAAAGCTGCCTTCTTGCTGCCAGGGTCAACAGAACCATCTGTGTAAAACTGCATGGACCCACCCCAATTTTCATCAATAGTTTCCGTTACCACCCCGACTGGGTTACTTCTACCCTTCTGCTTGAACTTATCCCTCACAGCCCAATCTATCTCTGGATCTGGAAGCAACCATGGAGGGACACTCGGCCAGACAACCCTGGGAGACATGTCATTGCCCCAATTAGGAAACTCTCTTCTCACTTCTTTTACTAAACTCTCTCTTCTTCTTTTCTGAGCAGGCAGCCAGCTAGCCTCCAGCAACCCCTTCACAGGATTCCCTTGGTCTTGGCTCTGTACCCTCCCAATATACTGAAGGGCTAACTTCACACGTCTCAATTCAAGGGGCATCTCACCACACTCCACTAATAAGGCTGGGATAGATGTGGTCCTAAAAGCCCCACAGCACACCCGCAACGCTTTCGCCTGCACCACATCCAGCCTCGCTAAAATTGTCTTAGCCGCACTCCCATACGCCAAGCACCCATAGTCAATGCTTGATCGCACCATTGCCCTGTAGATCATCAGTTGAGTTCCCTTGTCTGCACCCCAACTACTACCCGCAAGGCACCGCAATATATTAATAATTTTCCCACATTTTGCAACAATCTTATCAACATGGGATCTCCAGGTCAACCTCTCGTCAAAGTGCACACCTAAAAATTTAAACACTTTGACCCTTTCAAGCACTCTGCCATACATACTCAGTCCCAACTGGCCTACTTTACGCTTATTTCCAAATATAACATATTTACTTTTATCTACTGAAATTTTAAAACCCCACTTTCCTGCCCATTCAGTAACCCTATCCAGCGCGACTTGTAACTTCCTCATTATAAAACTAACATTTCGCCCTCTTTTCCACATTGCCCCATCATCTGCAAATAGAGATAGACCACACCTATCTCCAACATTAGAAAAAATATCATTGATCATTACATTAAAAAGTACAGGACTTATTACACTGCCTTGTGGCGTACCATTATCAATTCCCACTACCTCTGACAACTCATCTCCAACTCTAACCTGAATTTTGCGGTTATTCAAAAAGGCTTTAATCCAATTCAACATTCTCCCTCGAATCCCTGCATCATACAGTTTAATGATGAGCCCTTCTCTCCACAGCATGTCGTAAGCTTTCTCAATATCTAGAAATACAGCCACAACAGCCTCCTTGTTATCTATTGCTTTCCGAACATCTGACTCTAGCACCAGAACCGAGTCCATTGTGCTTCTTCCCAGCCTAAATCCATTTTGAATGTTTGTAAACCAACCCTCTTTCTCTAATTTATACACTAATCTGTCTGTTACCATTCTTTCCATAATCTTGCACAACACTGCTGTTAATGCAATTGGCCTATATGACCCCGGATTTTTGGCCTCTTTCCCTGGCTTTAGGATTGGTACCACCACAGCCTGTTTCCATGCTGAAGGCAATACCCCCTCTTCCCCACACATTATTAATAAGTGCCAACACTTCATGCAATACCAAATCATCAACATGCTTAAAAACTTCGTACATCAGCCCATCCTTACCTGGTGCTGTTTTACCACCTCTACTTATTGCCTTCTGCAATTCATTGAGTGAAAAGTACAAATTACCTGGATCAGAGTTGTCATCGTTAACTTCCAGTTTATACTCTTGACTGTTCAGGGTTCCATTTCTCTCCCTAATCCCCTTCTCTCCTATATTATTGCCACAGTGGACCTCCTGGAACTTCTTTACAAGTAAACTTGCCTTCTGGATGTTGCTTAATGCTTCCACCCCTCCATCTTCAAGAACAGGAATAGCTCTACGCCTGCAGACACCTGCCATACGATGCACCGCTGACCAAACCTCCGCTGCTGATGTCTCCACTCCTAATCCACTACAATACTTCCTCCAACAATCCCTCTTGGCTACCTTTATTGTTCTACGTGCAACAGCCCTCAACTTTTTATATTCTATAGAGTTCTGTTCTGACGGAAACTTCTTAAATTGCTTATACGCCTTCTTCCTTGCCCTAATAGCATATGTACATGCCTTATTCCACCAGGGCACACTTACCCTATTCCTCCCTCCAGCCTTACAGGGTATACACTGACCCATATTATGCGCAATTTCGCTACACAAACTGTCATTCCACTCCTCCAAAGAGTCATCATTTACCTTATCTAAATCCTTATTACACCCCTGAGCAAACTCAGTCCACTTAGCTCGACTAAAATCTAAAGCTTTTGGCCTGACCAACGCATCTGTGACTAAAGACCTACCAAATCTCACTAATATAGGAAAGTGATCACTCCCTAATGAACAACTATCCAGACAGTCCCATTCCCCTAAAACAGCCAACTCACTCGAGGCCAGGGCCACGTCTATACATGAAACCCCTCCCGTTCTCACATCAAACCTTGTGGGCCTGCCATCATTCATACAAATTAGTCCATTCCTATCAATAAAATCCTCAACCTCCTCCCCATTATGGTCACGAGACCAGCTGCCCCACAACGGGTTATGGGCATTAAAATCTCCTACCCACACCAACGGTGTTCCTACCCCCTGAAATACTTCACCTAAAGTGTCAGAATTAAGGTGCAAACATGGATTATAAAAATTTACAACATTAATTTTCCCCTGTGTACCCCAAACCCTCACTGCCATACACTCCAACCGAGTGTTAAGTGATAGTCTCTGATATTGCACATTCTCCCGAATAAAGATTACACACCCCCCTCCAGCTTTATCAGCACGATCAAGCCGCTCACTCACATACCCAGGCACCACAAAATCCAGGCAAGGTTTTAACCATGACTCCTGAACGCAAATTAATTCTGGTTTGTGAATAAAATCTTCTAAGTACCTTTTAAGTTCCTGTCCATTTGCAATGAGGCTTCGCGCATTCCATTGCAATACGTAAAACATTTAACCTACTGAAGAGCTTTCTCCACTCTGACTGGCCCCTCCTCCTTGTGATCCTCTACGTGCGTGCGCAAGATTCAAATGCTCTGGGGACACTTCCGTACCCAAAAACCTACCTGCCTCTTTTGCAATCATTGCCTTTATACCAGATGGCGTGTCCACCTGTCTTGCTGCCCATAAGACTTCCACTAAAAAGGCAAAGAACGCCACCTTACGCACCACAAAACAATCATCCGAGACTTGACCACCTGACTGGTTTAAGCTTTCACTTTGAGCCTTCTGCCCCTCCTGGCCTGTCTCTTTGACTCTCCTGACAGCCTCAGCATAGGAGATATTCTCAGTCTTTTTAATTGTCTCCACTTCTTGGGCTTTGACATGTACCCCACATCCCCTGTACGCCGCCACATGGTTGCCCCCACAATTACAGCACTTCACTTCACTGTTTGTGCACTCTGAATAATCATGACCGCCACCGCACTTTCCACACCTTTTTTCCCCTCTACACACTGCAGCGACATGCCCAAATCTCTGACATTTATAGCAACGCAAAGGCGGACGCACATATGGTTTAACCTGAAATGCCATAAACCCAAGAGTAACTCTCTGCGGCATGACCTCTTCTCCAAACAAAATGAGCACAGCAGTGCTGTCCCTCTCTTCTCCCTGTCTCCTGGTTTTGAACCTCTTTACTCCCAAAACTTCCCCCCCTTTCAGGTTTTTAAAAATGTCATCTTCTGAGACATCTGTGTCAATATAAACGACCCCTTTCGCTCCCTGGTCAGAAAGTAGATTTGACCCTGGCACCAAGCCTTGTACAGCCCGTTTATCCAGCTCCTTTATCAGGAGTGCCTTCTTCCTCTGGGCTTCGGTTTTACACAATAAGAACACATTCCCATTAGACAAGATTTTGGCATGCAAGATTTCTCCAATTTTGTCACGAATCTCTGAGGATAGCCTAAGAGGGTTGGGGACTTTTCTCAATTCGTCTTTAAATTTAAGGATTATTTTAAAGCCTTCATCATCATGCTCAGCCCGCCTCACCATTTTGGCTACTTCTCTCTCACGGCTCCCACTACTACCTGACCTGGTTCGTTTTCCCCCGTCTTTCCCTCCACCCCCCGAACCACCCCCTTTAAGTCTTCCCATGCAGCAGGAGAGACACCACCAAGAAAAGTGCAGTACTTTAAAGTCAATGTGCCACAGGAAAAATACAAAAGGAGCCAAATTAAAGTTGGCGCCAGTTTAATTTCACCAGCCGGAGACCGTCAACCGCTCAACCCGCCTGTCACTCCGAATCGTGCGACACGCACGTAGCAGCCACTGCACGAGCCAGCCGTCAATCGAGCCTCCAAGAGTAGTCCCGCCCTCGCCTGGAATCACACTCCAGGCAACCTGCACGCTGCTCTGTCGCTGGATTATGAGGTCATCAGTCGCACAGGCATCTTATCAACCCTGAGACTATCAAAGAGCAGGTGCATTTATACAGAGACTTGATTACACACAGGTGCATTCTATTTATCATCATCAGTCATTTAGGACAACATTGGACCATTCAAAGATCCTCACTGAACTTCTGGACTGAGTTTGCTGCACTGAAAGTAAAGGGGCCGAATAATATTGCACGCCCCACTTTTCAGTTTTTTATTTGTTAAAAAAGTTTAAATTATCCAATAAATTTCGTTCCACTTCACGATTGTGTCCCACTTGTTGTTGATTCATGACAAAAAATTAAAATGTTATATCTTTATGTTTGAAGCCTGAAATGTGGCGAAATGTTGAAAGGTTCAAGGGGGGCAAACACTGTATACAGTATATAAATATAATCAAAGCACATGTGTCTTACGGTAGATGATGAGTTGGTAGGACTTGAACGAGATGCTTTGTTCGATGCACAGCTGTTGGTACAGTCCCGTGTCGTTGAGGGTCAGGTTGGACAGATGCAGGTCTCCGGTCTCTGCGTTCACACGGAGCCGGCTCTCTAGGCTCGGGTTCAGCTCCACAATGATGGGAGGGATAACTTTGGCGATCATCACGCGAGAGTGAGAGTTTATGAACGTCCACAGAAGCTGCCGCTGTTGCCCCAGACACACCCCGGAGAGAAGAGAGACGCTGGAGCCAGACCGAGCTCCGATCACTTCTTCTTCTGTGTCTGCCACGACACTGCAGCACAGCACTGGGACAACACAAGTGTGAATAAACATAATAACAACATAATCTCTTTAATACATGTTGTTAGCCGCTGGTTCAAAACTACAGGTTATCTGGACATCAGCACACGGACAAGTTTACAGACTGCACCAGTCTGGGTCAGCTAGATGTAGCAGCAGAGTGACAAAGAATGGACAAAGAGCTCTGGTCTTATACCATGATAATTTGAAACACATGCAACAATATGTCCCACCTTCCTCTTCCTCAGAGAAGACGTGGCCTCCCTCTAAGGCCCTGTCCACACGAAGTCAAGCTCAGGCCTAAACGCAAAAATACTTTATCAATCCAGTGTATCGTCCATACGAGGCCGGCGTTTTGGGGGGGTGTAAACGAACATTTTTGAAACTAGGTCCCAGAGTGGAAAGATTTCAAAACTCCGTATATGCCGCTCCGTGGTTACTGCCTCTCCGCAATGTATCTGAGACGCGTCATCGCCCCGCCTCTTGTTAAAGCACGCATGCGCCGCACTCAGAAAATAATGACAACAACAATGTAGCTTGTTGGTTTTGTAATCCAGTGTGACCCGAAGCAACAGTTCAACCTCATCGTCTGTCCATACTAATGTAGTACCAGCTCGCCCACTCGCCATGTTGTCTGTTTACAAAATTCCGCGCATGCCCACGGAAGTTTGGGCTTGATCCCGTCATTGCGTCACAGCGCCACCAACAGGTCTGGCGTATTGACTACATTCATATGGACGCACACATTTACTGAGCTAACTCCGTGTTTACAGAAAAAGTTTCTGAACATCCTTAGGTGAAGACAATACCTTCTCTGTTTCAGGACAAACAGTAGCCCCTCTCAAAGTAAGCCTGAGGCTACTCTAAACAGATGTTTTCTGCGCTCTTCTTAATTTAACTTCCTGTGTTTAATGGCTTGGGGATGGGAGAATGCTGCTGATGCGCCCATCACACACATAGCTTAACCCAAAGCTGTCTAAACTTGAATATATTCTAATTCACTTTAATGAAAATCCAACAACTCTACTAACATTTCCCTCCTGTTTTTCATTAAAAGAATTAATCACATTCAATGTTTAGTAAACCAACTTAAAGATGGAACACAATGAAATTAATACAAACACAGTATTACATTTGAATCCAAGTTGTGTCGACTCAACTTAGAGACCCCTCTTGACATGTGTCTTATACAAATCACATTGGTTACAGAAACACACACAGAAAATAACTCAAAAAAGTTTTTTAGAGATCATTTCATATGTATAGAATTACTCCCCTATAAACCATATCTCCCCCCTGTTTGAGACATTAAAAATGGCTCAATAACTAAACATAATTCCTAATTATTCATGTGCATGAAATGAAAAAGACACAAATACCCAATTTACTCATGTAAATTAATGTAGCATCAAAATGTATAAACTAAACGTTCATTTCTGGAATGTTTTCACCTGAAATGTATTAACTTGAAATGTGTCAACTTTGGTTAGCCAATTAAACACCACACCAAAAAGCCTATTGTCCAGAAACGCCTGTTGTAGAAACGCCTCCACACCCCGATGTCTTCTGCAGCCAGCAACGTCCAGCACCATCCAGCACAGCCCCGTCATGTCCAGAAGCCTCTGTCCTGTTCACACACTTCAGAACCGACAGTAAAAACTGGAAACCTCCAGTCCTCAGATCTTTGCACAAAGGTGATGTCTTCGGTCGACCCAGTCTTTCAGATTTTTTTTTGAAATCTGCAAAATGTCCCAAAAACACACAGAGTCAAGTGGTTGATTTGAGTCTGACCTCTGGATGACCCTTTGCATCATTGCTTCTGTAGTTGCAGCATTTAGCCTTGGTTTGGCCTGCTGGTTTGGCTTAGTTTGGCTTGGTTTGGCCTGCTGATTTGCTGGTTGGTGATTGGTGGGGGTGGGAGTGGGCGTCTCCTTCACAGGAATGAACTCTGAGCTTTTTGAGCATCAAAAGTGGTGTTTTAGGTGTTTCCCTCAAACAAAACACACAAAGTACACATTTGTTAATACATTTCAAACTTAGTTCAGTAAACCCCAAAAGAAAACTTTAGCAGTTAATGAAAACTGTTGCTGAAAACAGTCCTATTACTGTAATTTTCTTGTCAGAAATGAAAACATCACAATTAACTATTGAAATAATGTATAACTAGTTATATTCAGAATCAAACAGATTTGCATTTCTTTGATGTAAACATTAAACATGCTAGAGTAACTTCCCTTACTGTTGACTTTAAACCTTTCAAATGAACCTAAACATGATTATTATTCAAATCTGAAAAATTAAACTGCTTATTTTCAGAGTGTTTCCCACTTATCTGATTGTTCTGAGTCAGCATCAGTCAGAGAGGACTTCTTAGGCGTCTGATTCGTCGTTCCCATCCACAGCACCCCTGCCGATGCTTCTCCCCCTCCTCCTGCTCCTTTGAGTTACTCCTGCTCTTAGATCTGTCTCTCTGGTTGGAGTGAGGTGAAGCATGTGACCGATGCTGTGCCGGGAACAACCAAACACTGTCCCCAGACGTCCCTCTCCCAGCTGAGACAGAACAACATTTTAGTTGACAATTCTGTTGATTTTACACAAATATTGTTTCATATTATTTGTGAAATAATATTTTAGTCCTGATGTTTATTCCTATTTTATAGTCCGTTAGTTCAGTCAGTTAAGTCCCAAACATAGAAGACAAACAGTTACATGCAAAACCTGAAGTAACAAACAAACAAATACTACTCACATAAGAGGAGATGTTAGTCTGTTAAATCTTACACATAAAGACAGTTACTCACAAAACAAACAAAAACTCCAAATCAAACCCAAAAATTAACATAAAAGTCTACTTGTGTGTACAAAATACCAGCTTTTGTGATCATAAGCAAACAAAAATCAAAAAGCTAGGCTAACTTTGAGTCTTATCTATCATCAATCTAATTCAGTTTCAGCCTAATCCTTTTGAGCTTGTACCAAATGTTGTAACTTTAAAGTTGTCCAATCACAAAAATTGCACATCTCAAGTCAATTCAAATCTATCTATGATTCTCTAATCTCATTACCAAATGTTTTCACCAGTAAAATGTTTATCACTGGTTCCACCCCTTTTAAATTATTTTTGTTAATGTAGCTAGCATTAACAAAAGTAGTTAAACTATAAAAAATTTACTCCACCCAACTAGAGTTGAGCAGACGGGAGGGACAGAATTGGGAGCAAGGGAGAAGGGGATGAGGGGAAGAGGGGGAACAGGGAGGGGGGGGGGAAGAGGGGAGAAGGGGACACAAAGGATGCACCTCAACCGTGCACGCACACACACACTCACACTTTAGGCCTTTATATCCAAATTTCAATTTCCAATTTAAATTATTATTTAGAAAAATTGTTGTCTTATTATGCAGGCTACCACAAAGTTCTACCAAAAAGTCACTAATCGGCTGAAGAATAAATCACCACTCTCAAAATGTTCAATTTTTCCCTCAAATGGCCAGATCTGGTTTTCCAACTACACGTATGCGTCCATAGTGCTGAATTTGTTTTCTCTTCTCTGAGGATGTTTATTCATCCAGTGGACAGAAGTCTTCTCTATTCTGTCGCTTTGTTGGTACCGATGAACCAACCAACGGGGACTTTCACCCTTTTAAATTCTCCACTTTCTTAGAAGTGCGTGATATCTCACTGCCCCAATGCTTTTTGAGGAGATAAATTGGATTTCCTGCCTTCAAAGACGATTTAAATTTAGTTTCTTTTTTTAGAAAAAAATTGTTTTACCCTGTCCATGTGGATGTCCAGAAACTCTAGTTCTGCCGTCAACTTCAATCCGGAGACTGGCCATGCCTCAAAGATGGAGTCCTCAAAGCAGTTCTGAATGAAGAAGACCTCACCGCTGCTCCAACTCCATGTTTGAGGCATCCTCAGCTCCGCAGAAAAGCATGTTGGCATCCGGCGCAAGAAGGACCAAAATATGTGAATAAACTAGTCACATTTCAACAACATAATCTCTTTAATACATGTTGTCAGCCGCTGGTTCAAAACTACAGGTTATCTGGACATCAGCACAAACAGACAAGTTACAGACTACAGTCTAGTCTGGGTCTCTGCTAGATGGAAAGCAGCAGAAGAGTGACAAAGAAATGGACCAAGAACTCTGGTCTTATACCATGATAATTGAAGACATATGTCCCAACATCCTTAGGTGAAGACAATACCTTCTCTGTTTCAGGACAAACAGTAGCCCCTCTCAAAGTAAGCCTGAGGCTACTCTAAACAGATGTTTTCTGCGCTCTTCTTAATTTAACTTCCTGTGTTTAATGGCTTGGGGATGGGAGAATGCTGCTGATGCGCCCATCACACACGTAGCTTAACCCAAAGCTGTCTAAACTTGAATATATTCTAATTCACTTTAATGAAAATCCAACAACTCTACTAACAGTATAAACAAAACAGGTGCCTTAGAAATGTAAATCAACTTCAACAGATACAAATTGACAGACATAGAGACAGAGAGACCAGAGAGAGACCAGAGAGAGACCAGAGAGAGACCAGAGAGAGACCAGAGAGAGACCAGAGAGAGACCAGAGAGAGACCAGAGAGAGACCAGAGAGAGAGACCAGAGAGAGACCAGAGAGAGACCAGAGAGAGACCAGAGAGAGACCAGAGAGAGAGACCAGAGAGAGACCAGAGAGAGACCAGAGAGAGACCAGAGAGAGGCCAGAGAGAGACCAGAGAGAGAGACCAGAGAGAGACCAGAGAGAGAGACCAGAGAGAGACCAGAGAGAGACCAGAGAGAGACCAGAGAGAGACCAGAGAGAGACCAGAGAGAGACCTGAGAGAGACCAGAGAGAGACCAGAGAGAGACCTGAGAGAGACCAGAGAGAGACCAGAGAGAGACCAGAGAGAGGCCAGAGAGAGGCCAGAGAGAGACCAGAGAGAGAGACCAGAGAGAGAGACCAGAGAGAGAGACCAGAGAGAGACCAGAGAGAGGCCAGAGAGAGACCAGAGAGAGACCAGAGAGAGAGACCAGAGAGAGGCCAGAGAGAGGCCAGAGAGAGACCAGAGAGAGAGACCAGAGAGAGAGACCAGAGAGAGAGACCAGAGAGAGACCAGAGAGAGGCCAGAGAGAGACCAGAGAGAGACCAGAGAGAGAGACCAGAGAGAGACCAGAGAGACACCAGAGAGAGACCAGAGAGAGGCCAGAGAGAGACCAGTGAGAGAGACCAGAGAGAGACCAGAGAGAGACCAGAGAGCGACCTGAGAGAGACCAGAGAGAGACCAGAGAGAGGCCAGAGAGAGACCAGAGAGAGACCAGAGAGAGACCAGAGAGAGAGACCAGAGAGAGACCAGAGAGAGACCTGAGAGAGACCAGAGAGCGACCTGAGAGAGGCCAGAGAGAGACCAGAGAGAGACCAGAGAGAGAGACCAGAGAGAGACCAGAGAGAGACCAGAGAGAGAGACCAGAGAGAGGCCAGAGAGAGACCTGAGAGAGACCAGAGAGAGACCCGAGAGAGGCCAGAGAGAGACCAGAGAGAGACCAGAGAGAGAGACCAGAGAAAGACCAGAGAGAGACCAGAGAGAGAGACCAGAGAGAGGCCAGAGAGAGACCTGAGAGAGACCAGAGAGAGACCTGAGAGAGGCCAGAGGGAGACCAGAGAGAGACCTGAGGGAGACCAGAGAGAGACCATAGAGAGAGACCAGAGAGAGGCCAGAGAGAGACCAGAGAGAGAACAGAGAGAGACCAGAGAGAGGCCAGAGAGAGGCCAGAGAGAGACCAGAGAGAGGCCAGAGAGACCAGAGAGAGAACAGAGAGAGACCAGAGAGAGGCCAGAGAGAGGCCAGAGAGAGACCAGAGAGAGACCAGAGAGAGGCCAGAGAGAGACCAGAGAGCGACCTGAGAGAGGCCAGAGAGCAACCAGACAGAAACCAGAGATAGACTAGAGAGAGACCAGAAAGAGAGATTGGAGAGAGACCTTCGGGAGAGACCATAGAGAGAGACCAGAGAGAGAGAGAAAAAAAGAGACAGATAAAATGATAAAAATACAGACCCATTGGTCCAGAAGGGACAGAGACCAATCTCCATAAATGTGTTGTCTGTGAGTGTCGTGGATCGTCTCTGTCCTTAGCCCCGCCCACATCCTCAGCCCCTCCCACACCTGTGTCTTTCAGGAGGACTCCGACGACTGATGCGACGGCGGTGAAAGCGCTGAGACCAAACCGTTCCGTGTCGCTCTGCCCGTGTGCCTTGTGTGGTGCGTGAAGTGTGCGTGTCCCCGTGAGCTCTGCTGTCGCCGTCGTCTGTGCGTTTAGCCCTGTTTCCACCAAGCCCTACTCGACTCGACACGGCTCTACCCCTGTTGGGGGAGTTTCCATTGGCCCCTGTGTAACTACTTCTCTAGTATCTGCCTGGCTCTGGTTCTATTCCAGGCCGGGCTGATACTAAAGTGTTGGCCAGAGTGCTGCGAGAAGCCCAGGAAGTTTATTTGTAAAGCACAGTTCATAAATAATCACAGTAGTAGAGTAGAGTAGAGTGGGGTAGGGTAGGGTAGGGAAGGTCTGGTGGAAACAGGGCTTCTGTGTCTTTTCAGAGGCAGGTTGTGTTGGTGCCTTTTCCACATCAGTCCTGCTGCAGTTGTGGTCCCAGTGCCTCCCTCCCTCTGAGGACCACAACTGGAATCTGGACTCTGCCAAATGTGACGTTTGTAATCACTGAGACTATAGTCCGGGCGAAGAACCTGAAGAGAAAGGAAATAAACTGCAATCATGTATCTTTTCTATGTGGGGGACTGAGGCTCTAGATCCAGGACTGAGGCTGTGTAGACCCAGGACTGAGGCTCTAGATCCAGGACTGAGGCTGTACACCCAGGACAGAGGCTGTAGATCCAGACCCGAGGCTGTAGACCCAGACCCGAGGCTGTAGATTCAGGACTGAGGCTGTAGATCCAGGACAGAGGCTGTAGACCCAGGACTGAGACTGTAGACCCAGGACTGAGACTGTAGACCCAGGACTGAGGCTGTAGATTGTTCCAGTTTGCTTTTGTCAGAGCCAACACAAACATCCTCAGGTGTGGTTCTCTGGCTGTATTAGCACAACTAATCCCAATCTCTTAAGACTTCTTTCTTCTTCTTCGTCTCGTCCTGGACCCATTAAATAGATTCATATTTGCGGTTATTTCATTTCCAGCCTGTCTTTGGCCTGGACTTGGCCTGGACTACATGGAACCCGCCCCCAAAGCACCTAAGTGTCTCAACGTACACTGTAAAAATTCTCTGCTTCGAAGCAAAAGAATCTATTTTTACCGGTTGTGTCCGTGTGTGTTGTACAGGTGCGACTGTGAAACCAGAATGTGTAGAGTCTGTTTGGGACTGAGCATGGATCGGTCTGTAACTGTTTAATGTGGAATAAAGTCTGTGAGAAACCTCATGTGTCGTGCGATGTCAGGAGGGTTACGAGTCTTTGTGAGGGCGTCATTTTGATTTTGTCTTCCGTGGATGCCATTATTTTCAGGCTAGCTCCAAAAAGTATAGAGACTAGAAAGAGAGACAAGAGAGAAAGGCCAGAGAAAGGCCAGAGAGAGGCCAGAGAGAGGCCAGAGAGAGACCAGAGGGAGGCCAGAGAGAGGCCAGAGAGAGACCAGAGGGAGGCCAGAGAGAGGCCAGAGAGAGACCAGAGGGAGGCCAGAGAGAGGCCAGAGAGAGGCCAGAGAGAGACCAGAGGGAGGCCAGAGAGAGACCAGAGGGAGGCCAGAGAGAGGCCAGAGAGAGGCCAGAGAGAGACCAGAGAGAGACCAGAGGGAGACCAGAGGGAGACCAGAGAGAGACCAGAGGGAGGCCAGAGAGAGGCCAGAGAGAGGCCAGAGAGAGACCAGGGAGAGGCCAGAGAGAGGCCAGAGAGAGGCCAGAGAGAGACCAGAGAGAGACCAGAGGGAGACCAGAGGGAGACCAGAGGGAGACCAGAGGGAGACCAGAGGGAGACCAGAGGGAGACCAGAGAGAGGCCAGAGAGAGGCCAGGGAGAGACCAGAGAGAGACCAGAGAAAGACCAGAGGGACACCAGAGGGAGGCCAGAGAGAGACCAGAGAGAGACCAGAGAGAGACCAGAGAGAGACCAGAGCTTTTGTTCTGTGCCGTTGTTTTTCCACCACTTTCAGAAAGTAGGCCACATAACAAGTCTCCAGACATTAACACCAAAGAGAGAGAGCGGGTGTGAAACTCCTCTGGGAGACCATGGACAAAAACACAGGATCACAAACCAGCAGGCTACAGGACCATGTGACAAAGGGCTTTATTTAGCCTAGACCTTTTCCCATTTCCTTTAAGCTTACGATCTATACAGCGCTGCAGCTAACTTATGTTTTTCTGTTGTGGTAGAGTCGGGCTGATGAGTTCATAGGATTATTATTCACGACTCAATCAGGTTTTTTATTTAGCTTTAAGAGGCTTTTTTATCGTCAAAGCAGATAAATGTAAATGAGTCATGGGTCGTTTTGGTCGAGGCTCATCTTTTCATCTCTGTATATTTTATTATAGGTTATATAAAGGTATTTTGATGAAAGGATTACTTTGACTTAACCTGAGTTTGGGATTTTTCGGAACAAAACTAGTCCCGTTGCGGTTTGTTTGGTGGAAAAGAATTGGACAATGATTTATGTAACAATTCATCAGTGTTGTGCCAGTTCACAGGTTTTCTGAACTAGTTCAAGTTCAGTTCATACATGCTCAAAGTGAACAGTTCACGTTCAAAGTTCACATTTTTAATTCTGAACTAGTTCAAAGTTCAGTTCATTTTACTTTTTTCGTGAGATACTTATATACATGTTTTTCACACTACGAGCTATATATATATATATATTATATATCTCCTGTACACCCACAGGAGGAGAGCCTTATGACCACAAAACAGACCAGATTTACATGGTTTTCAATGGGAGCAAAACGGAGTTGCTCCATCTCTGCTCATAAACTACAGACAGTAATGCGCTGCAGTGCTGTGTCTGTACTTCATACTCATAAACTACAGACAGTAATGCGCTGCAGTGCTGTGTCTGTACTTTATGCTCATAAACTACAGACAGTAATGCGCTGCAGTGCTGTGTCTGTACTTTATGCTCATAAACTACAGACAGTAATGCGCTGCAGTGCTGTGTCTGTACTTTATGCTCATAAACTACAGACAGTAATGCGCTGCAGTGCTGTGTCTGTACTTTATGCTCATAAACTACAGACAGTAATGCGCTGCAGTGCTGTGTCTGTACTTCATACTCATAAACTACAGACAGTAATGCGCTGCAGTGCTGTGTCTGTACTTTATGCTCATAAACTACAGACAGTAATGCGCTGCAGTGCTGTGTCTGTACTTCATACTCATAAACTACAGACAGTAATGCGCTGCAGTGCTGTGTCTGTACTTCATACTCATAAACTACAGACAGTAATGCGCTGCAGTGCGTGTGTCTATACTTTATGTCAAATGTAAACGGTGTAAACTTTGTCGCTAACTCACCCTGTGTTTTCATCACGACTCGGGCACATGTGAAAAGCACCAGCTCACAGCGCCGCACCGCAACAGGAGTCGGGGTGCGTTCACAGACGGTGGAAACCGTAGGAATTTTTAGATTTCAGCGGAAAAAGTGCGAGAATACAGGAGGGAGGAACTTTCTCTCGTTGCGTTTCAAAAGAGAAAACAGATTCCAACGTTCATAGTGATGTCTGTCGTTCATGACACATAAAATGAACTAATTCACGTTCAAGTTCTTTTTAAAAAAATGTGTTGCGTTCAGTTCAACGTTCACGAAAAAATGAGCGTGTTCAATGAACGCGTTCTTTTGAACTCGTTCACGCACAACACTGCAATTAATTATGTGTTGGGTTCAAACTTTAGAATAAATAAAATTACTTGGTTTTCTTAATACAAATTAGCTTTAAATGAGCTTTAACGTCTCATGGTAGCTCATAGCTAAAATGTTGTAGTATGTAACATGAGCTTATGTGACATACTTGTCCCTATTCAAATAAACTTAAATAAATAAATAGTAACCATACCATCAATGCTGCCATTTATTGAGAATGAGGAGTCACGTGCCGAGTTGGGGTGATTTGGGGGGGGCTCTGAGCCTGTCGGACATATTGGCTGCGCAACGGGGGCACGCCCCCAGAATTTCACGCGCTCCTCATATTCCAGAGCACTTTAAATTATACGCATTTACGTTTTCGGCGAGACAGAGACGGATCTACTGATACAACAAGGGAAAGGAAGACAGTAAAACAATGCTTAGAGATAAGGCGAAAGAGAAGGGACCGTACAGGAACAAGCTCATACCAAGCGCAAAACAGAGGTATTTGGAGAAGCTTGCGGACATCAAAAACATCGACCCATACGAGCTCCCTGCAGCGGAATGGCACAGAAACCTGGACCATTTACCTCCGTGCACATACATGGACATAGTTGTTTTGTGTCCCTTTGCACTAAGAAAAGTATGACTCTTATGATCATTTTTGCCTATGCTGTGCATGTTTACATGCTGGAAACAGTACTTTGAATGCACACGTTGTTTAGCAGTGTTTTGTGTCCCTTTGCACTAAGAAAAGTATGACTCTTATTATCATTTTTACCTATGTTGGGCATGTTTACATGCTGGAAACAGTACTTTGACTGCACACGTTTGTAACAAAAAAAATATTCATTTCTCAATAAATATTGGTAAACCATATCAAGTTGTTTCATGCATTTATTTAAAAATAAAAGATACAGTAAAGAATAAGGTACTCAAACAACACTTTTGCACATGTTCGTTAAGGCACAGCAAACAATGACAATCTTATCCAAAGGCATTAGGTTTTCACCCTCACATTTGACAAGCATGTGCACAGGTACAGTTGAGTGTAAGAATTTGAATTTGTTGCGCACAACACCGATCACCCTCTCCACGTGAATTCTGAGATGTGCTATGGCCCTAGTAAACAAACTGTACTGCCGCCACCGGTGCGCAGCCAATATGTCGGCAAAGGGGGGATGGGGAGGGGGGACTCTGTGCCGTGACGTCAACTCCTCATTCTCAATAGGCCAACTACCAAATCAACTTTTTTTTACTTATACACTGCCTAAATAGGACCAGGGTCATCTATAACAACGACAAACCCTGGTTCACTGCTAAACTCCGGCAGCTCAGGAAAGCAAAGGAGTCTGCTTTCAGGGAGGGGGACCGCAGCGGCTACAAAGCAGCTAAATATCAGTTCAGGAAAGAACTGAAAGCAGCCAAGTCCCGGCACAGAGAACGACTACAGGAGCAGTTTGGTAACAACGATACTGCTTCTGTCTGGAGGGGCCTACGGGAGATCACCAACTACAAACCCAAAGCCCCCCCCTGTGCTGATGACCACAAGCTAGCTGACGATCTGAACTTATTTTTCAGTCGCTTTGATGCTGCCCCTGACACCTCTCCCTCCCCCACCCCCCACTACTCTAACGACCCACCCATCAGCCCTGCCCCCAGCCTAACAATAGCCGCTAAAGAGATTAAACAACTCTTCCTGAGGCTGCACCCCCGCAAAGCTCCTGGCCCGGACCACGTGTCTCCGGCCACTCTGAGACACTGCGCCAGTGAGCTTACTCCTGTGTTCACGGACATTTTCAACTCCTCTCTGCAGTCCTGCCATGTCCCGGCCTGCTTCAAATCCTCCATCATTGTCCCCGTCCCGAAGAAGCCCAGGATCACAGGACTCAATGACTACAGACCTGTAGCACTTACGTCTGTCGTCATGAAGTCATTTGAACGCCTGGTTCTCTCCCATCTCAAGTCCCTCACCTCCCCCCTCCTGGACCCCCTGCAGTTCGCCTACAGAGCCAACAGATCTGTAGACGACGCCATTAACCTGGCCCTCCACCACATCCTACAGCACCTGGACTCCCCGGGGACCTACGCCAGGGTCCTGTTCGTGGACTTCAGCTCTGCCTTCAACACAATCCTGCCATCCCTGCTCCAGGACAAGCTCTCCCAGCTCAACGTGCCCGATTCCACCTGCAGGTGGATCACTGACTTCCTGACGGACAGGAAGCAGCGAGTGCGTCTGGGGAAGAATGTCTCGGACTCTCGGATTATAAATACAGGAGCCCCACAGGGCTGTGTTCTTTCTCCCCTGCTCTTCTCCCTGTACACCAACCACTGCACCTCCAGCCACGACTCCGTGAAGCTGATCAAGTTCGCGGACGACACCACCCTCATTGGACTCATCTCCAACAACGATGAGTCCGCCTACAGGAGGGAGGTGGACCGGCTGGTGTCCTGGTGCAGTGGTAACAACCTGGAGCTGAACGCCCAGAAGACAGTGGAGATGATTGTGGACTTCAGGAAGAGCACTGTCCCCCCGCCCCCACCCTCCGTGATGGACTCCCCCATCACCTCTGTGGAGTCCTTCCGTTTCCTGGGCACCACCATCACCCAGGACCTCAAGTGGGAGCCGACCATCAGCTCTCTCATCAAGAAGGCCCAGCAGAGGATGTACTTCCTGCGGCAGCTCAGGAAAGCCAAGCTGCCTGCACAGATGTTGGTGCAGTTCTACACGGCCATCATCGAGTCCATCCTCACCTCCTCCATCACCGTGTGGTTCGCTGGAGCCACAGTCAGGGACAAACAGAGACTACAGCGCATTGTGCGCTCTGCAGAGGAAGTGATCGGCCGCAGCCTTCCATCGCTGCAGGACCTGTACGTCGCCCGAGCTCGAGGCCGGGCTGGTCGTATCACAGCCGACCCCTCTCACCCTGCACATGGACTATTCCAACCACTCCCCTCAGGCAGGAGGCTGCGGTCCATCAGGACTAGAACCTCCCGCCACAAGAACAGTTTCTTCCCCTCTGCTGTTGGACTCTTGAACACTTCTTAACCTGTCCCCCCGCCCTTTATAAAGTCACTTTACTGCCCATCATACGTCACTTTACTTCACTGTACTGCTGTCACCTTACATTGTGTGCACCATGTGCACTTGTATATTGTAAATAGTAACTGTAACTCTATTTTAAATTTAAATTTATTCTTTAGAAGTGTTTTTTATTCTTATTTTTATTATCTCTTTTTGACTGTTGCACTGAGCCAAAGCAATTTCCAAGTCTGTGACCTCCCGTTACTTACGTTGGCAATAAAAATGATTCTGATTCTGATTCTGAAATATGTTTCTACAGTGCTCTCTACATGTCCTGGTCATCTTTTTGACATTTTACTGCAAATTAAATAAAATCTCACTTTAAAGTATACATTTTAAATCATTTCAGGGGCCACTAAATATGGTCTGGTGGGCCACATTTGGCTCGTGGGCCTTGAGTTTGACACCTGTGAGTATTCTAGCATTTACCTTTAGTTTGGTCCATCACGAGTCGACACCTCTTCATTAAATCCTGCTGTGTCCAGTTAAATATCAAACTACTTTAACTTAATCGTCTGTTTTGTTTTGCTCCATCTGCTGCTGCTTAACTTACATTACATCAGAACCTGCAGCTTGTTATTATGTGGACAAACATTACTGAATAATGTTTGTAATAAGTTTAAAATGGCTCAGATTTGGCAAATATGTGTCTTGACTTGAACAGATTTTGACTGAGCCTTAAAACTAGATTTTAGCAAAATTATCTTGTTTTAAAAAGATTCAAGAAATGTCTCCCTTAGAATGAGAAAATAAAGCAACAGTTCTTGAAACACAGTCACAATGTGGCAGATTAAGGTTAAGAAAACACTTAATTCAAGCATTTATTGCCTCATATTTTCTCATTTTTTGCAGTGTATACAGGTGCGCCTTATAGTGCAGCAAGTACGGTACTATATGTGTTTTATCTGGTAATCTTAATGGTGTATTATGGTAGATTTGAAAGTAATAAATGGGCAAACATCCTTAATATTTGGACTAAACTAACTGGAAAAGAAGAGCGCTGCTAACCCCTGGGAGGACGCCATCCTGACGCTGAAGCCGGACGGAAATCAATAACAAGAATACATTAACATTTTAGTGGTGGATTATGAAAAACAAGCTGGAGCCCTGAGGCGAGGATCCACGTGTGTGCAGAGACCAGAGAGAGACCAGAGAGAGACCTGAGAGAGAGACCAGAGAGAGAGACCAGAGAGAGACCAGAGAGAGAGACCAGAGAGAGACCAGAGAGAGACCTGAGAGAGAGACCAGAGAGAGAGACCAGAGAGAGACCAGAGAGAGAGACCAGAGAGAGGCCAAAGAGAGACCAGAGAGAGACCAGAGAGAGAGACCAGAGAGAGAGACCAGAGAGAGAGACCAGAGAGAGAGACCAGAGAGAGAGACCAGAGAGAGGCCAAAGAGAGACCAGAGAGCAAGACCAAAGAGAGAGACCAGAGAGAGAGACCAGAGAGAGAGACCAGAGAGAGAGACCAGAAAGAGAGACCAGAGAGAGACCTGAGAGAGAGACCAGAGAGAGAGACCAGAGAGAGAGACCAGAGAGAGAGACCAGAGAGAGGCCAAAGAGAGACCAGAGAGAGACCAGAGAGAGAGACCAGAGAGAGACCAGAGAGAGAGACCAGAGAGAGAGACCAGAGAGAGAGACCAGAGAGAGGCCAAAGAGAGACCAGAGAGCAAGACCAAAGAGAGACCAGAGAGAGAGACCAGAGAGAGACCAGAGAGGAAGACCAAAGAGAGACCAAAGAGAGACCAGAGAGAGGCCAGTGAGAGGCCAGAGAGAGACCAGAGAGCAAGACCAAAGAGAGACCAGAGAGAGACCACTGAGAGGGACCAGAGAGAGACCAGCGAGAGACTAGAGAGAGACCAGAGAGAGACTAGAGAGAGACCAGAGAGAGACCAGAGAGACCAGAGAGAGAGACCAGAGTTTTCCTCCAGCAAATCTTACTGGTCATAGTTAGCCCCAGGGGAGGGACCATTTGAAGAATTTTATTATATAAATATAAAAAAATTTAAACACTAAGTTTCTGACATCGCCTTTAAAACAAACGAGCAGAGTCTTTATCTGAGGCTATGACGGCGACTCACCACTTTTTTAATAAAACACATTTGCATCAATCCTCTGTCGTTCACACATTCACTCAGTCCAAAAAGTTTACAGGAAGTGGAGCAGAGACAGTCGTCGGGATCTCGTCTCGTCTCGCTGCAGTCCGACATTTTGACTTCATCACTTCTTCTTCCTCCTCTTGAGCGCCTTCCACTCTCCCTCCTGCGTGGCCAGGCTGCCCAGCAACTCCTTCACCTTCCTCTTCCTCTCAAAGTCCCTGGAAAGAAGGTGTAGATGATGACAATGATGACGATGAAGATGCGCCCCACGGTGAGGAAATGTCAGTGTTGCATCAGCGGTTACAGAAGAGCAAGGGAAGTGAGGCTCAACTCTATACTTTAACAATAAAATAATCTAAATCAGTAATATCAGGGAAATAAGTCCTTAGCTCTGAGGATTCAAATGTACAGAGACAGAGAGAGAGAGAGAGAGAGAGAGACAGAGAGAGAGAGAGACAGAGAGAGAGAGAGACAGAGAGAGACAGAGACAGAGACAGAGAGAGAGACAGAGACAGAGAGAGAGACAGAGAGAGAGAGACAGAGACAGACACAGAGAGAGAGACAGAGACAGAGAGAGACAGACACAGAGAGAGAGAGAGAGACAGAGACAGAGAGAGAGACAGAGACAGAGAGAGAGACAGAGAGAGAGACAGAGACAGAGAGAGACAGACACAGAGAGAGAGAGAGAGACAGAGACAGAGACAGAGAGAGAGACAGAGACAGAGAGAGAGACAGAGAGAGAGAGAGACAGAGAGAGAGAGACAGAGACAGACACAGAGAGAGAGAGAGAGAGACAGAGACGGAGAGAGACAGAAAGAGAGAGAGACAGACACAGAGAGAGAGAGAGAGACAGAAAGAGAGACAAATACACAGAGAGAGACACAGATAGAGACAGAAAAAGAGAGAGAGAGAGACAGAGACAGACAGAGAGACAAATACACAGATAGAGACAGAAAAAGAGAGAGAGAGAGAGAGAGAGAGAAAGACAGACAGACAGAGAGACCGACAGAGACAGAGAGCAATACACAGAGAGAGATAGAGACAGAAAGAGACAGATATGGAGAGACAGAGAGAGAGAGAGAGAGAGAGACAGAGACAGACACAGAGAGAGAGAGAGAGAGAGAGAGACAAATACACAGAGAGAGACACAGAGAGACAGAAAGAGAGAGAGAAAGACAGACCGACAGAGACAGAGAAATACACAGAGAGAGATAGCGACAGAAAGAGACAGATATGGAGAGACAGAGAGAGAGAGAGAGAGACAGAGAGAGAGAGATAGAGACAGACAGAAAGAGAGAGACAAAAAGAGAGACCGATATAGAGAGACAAAGAGAGACAAAGAGAGGCAAAGCGAGAGAGAGAGACAGACAGTTAAATGCAAGCAGCCGCCGAAACACATTCAAACAAACACATTTTTTTTATAAGCTACTAGCATTAGCAGCTTAGTAACCGCTGCACTGTTCGCAGCCGGGACGAGGCAGAATCCATAGAAACTGAACGAGAGAGATCCTGAAACTGGCTCAAATGTGAAGGAGACTCACTTGTGCATGACGTCGCTGAGCTTCTCTCGGGCCAAGAAGCGAGAGTCCTTCCTGATCTCCCTCAGCGCTCCCTTGAACTCCTTCTTGTACTTGTGCTTGAGCCGCTCCCTCTCCCGCTCCTCTCTGGTGCTGCCGCGCTTCTTACCGTAGTCGAGTCTGAGCAAAGTGTGAATGTGAGAGAAGGTCAAATCGGTCAAATACCTCATTTTAATTCAATCTATTTGTGTGTATTCAAGAGATTTTTAATACTAAAATGGATCGGTTTTCTACATACATCTAAGATAATCTATAACGCTTTGGTCTGTCCTCGTGTGTGCTCAAAGATAGCTTTATACATACAATGGTGATAAACTACTGCATTAGCCACAGCTGCCCTGGGGCACACTGACAGAAGCGAGGAAACCAGTCTGTGCCATCGGCCCCTCCCACCACCACCAACCATTCACACACACACACCAGACTCATTCTAATGTGGGGGAAGTGTCTTGCCTAAAGACACAACCACAGTTTGGCACTTTACAGAAGTCCCCAGTGTTCCCAGAAGTCTCCCATCACAGCGCTAACCAGGCCCTGCCCTGCTTAGCTTTCACGACTTCAAATAACGTCAGTCTTTGTGATTCGTTAATTGTGACCAGAAACCATGGGCTCACATTTCCACGATCTTTGGCGTCAGGAGTTTGAGGGGGATGGGTTTCTTCTTTTCAAAGATCAAAGCGGAGCGAGGCGTTGCCGCGGTAACAATGGTTTCCAGGATCTCGCTGTGAAGAGTCTGAAGTCACAATCAAAATGTATTTATTTATTTATACTTTTGTTGTAAAAAAGTTCTCATTAAAAGATAAGTGTTGATTCATTTGAAAACATGAGGGCCGGACAGTTATGGTTTCAGGGCCAAAAATCCCCCCAGGGCCATAGTTTGACAATCAGTAACTCTGGTCTCTCTCTCTGGTCTCTCTCGTCTCTCGTCGCTCTCTCTCTCTCGTCGCTCTCTCTCGTCTCTCTCTCTCTCTCGTCTCTCTCTCCAGTCTCTCTCTCCTGTCTCTCCTCTCTGCTGTCTCTCCTGTCTCTCTCTCGTCTCTCTCTCTCTCCTGTCTCTCCTCTCTCGTCTCTCTCTCTCGTCTCTCTCTCTCTCCTGTCTCTCCTCTCTCTCCTGTCTCTCTCCCGTCTCTTTCCCGTCTCTCTCGTCTCTCTCCTGTCTCTCTCTCATCTCTTTCTTTCCTGTCTCTCTCTCGTCTCTCTCTCTCTCCTCTCTCTCTCGGTGTATGTTTTGCTGTCCTAAAAACATATACACACACATTAGCTTTGGCTCGAGCTGCACTCAAAGATGTACAAATAAAAAAGGCATAAAAAAACAGTCCACATAAAATCTGTGTCGTAAATCCACACAGTAAAAACGTGTGTGTGCGTGTGTGTGCATGCGTGTGTGTGCGTGTGCGTGCGTGTGTGTGCGCAGCAGACCCACATGTAAGACCTCGGGTAAGTCCTCCGCGGGGAGATGGCGGGACAGAAGCGTGTGGATCGGTGTGAAGACCTGTGTGTAGGAGGGAAGGTCCTGGTAGAGCAGAGAGCACCGCTTCACCAGGTCCAGACCGGTCGACACACACCTCAGTCTGCAGAAAACACACAACTGCCTTAGTAAGAACAGAGATACTGCCTTTATCACATGTTTTGTTTTATCACATGAGCAAACAGGCCTTAAAGCTGGGGTACCTAACTTTCATGTAATTAAGTCTAATGTAGCTCAATGGAACAGGGAGTCATGGGAAACAGCCATCTGCAAATGAGGAGAATAATAAGGAGACGGAGGATGGTTTCTTTGTGCCCACACACCAGCTGCTGTGAGAGAACACACACCAAGACACCAGAGCTACCATCAGAGAGGGACCAGAGAGAGACCAGAGAGAGACCAGAGAGAGACAGAGAGAAGGACCAGAGAGAGACCAGAGAGAGACAGAGAGAGGGACCAGAGAGAGACAGAGAGAAGGACCAGAGAGAGACCAGAGAGAGACAGAGAGAAGGACCAGCAAGAGACCAGAGAGAAGGACCAGAGAGAGACCAGAGAGAGACACCAGAGAGAGACAGAGAGAAGGACCAGAGAGAGACCAGAGAGAGACAGAGAGAAGGACCAGAGGGAGACCAGAGAGAGGGACCTGAGAGAGGCCAGAGAGAGACCAGAGAGAGACCAGAGAGAGACCAGAGAGACCCCAGAGAGAGACGAGACAGACAGAAGGACCAGAGAGAGGGACCAGAGAGAGACAGAGAGAGGGACCAGAGAGAGACAGAGAGAAGGACCAGAGAGAGACCAGAGAGAGACAGAGAGAAGGACCAGCGAGAGACCAGAGAGAAGGACCAGAGAAGGACCAGAGAGAGACCAGAGAGAGACCAGAGAGAGACAGAGAGAAGGACCAGAGAGAGACCAGAGAGAGACAGAGAGAAGGACCAGAGAGAGACCAGAGAGAGACAGAGAGAAGGACCAGAGAGAGGCCAGAGAGAGAACAGAGAGAGACCAGAGAGACCAGAGAGAGACCAGAGCGAGACCAGGGAGAGGGACCAGCGAGAGGGACCAGAGAGAGGGACCAGAGAGAAGGACCAGAGAGAAGGACCAGAGAGAAGGACCAGAGAGAAGGACCAGAGAGAGAGCGATCAGAGAGAAGGGGACGGTCTGAGCTGCTCCTGCTTCACCAACGGCTGGCTTTTCCTTGTGCCCACACACCAGCTGCTGTGAGAGCGAAGACTCACAAAGACACCAGATCTACCATCAGAGAGAGGGACCAGAGAGAGATTAGAGAGAGACCAGACAGAGACCAGAGAGAGGGACCAGACAGAGACCAGATCTACCACCAGAGAGAGGCCTCAGTCTGCACAGGGGAACTCAGGCTTAGGCTTCTACGTCAAGATTTAAAGTTTATACAATATGTTTTTGTAGTCACACAGTATCACTTTTGGTTCATCAGTTAGAGCAGTGGAAATGGCCCGTGAAAAGGTATTGCGGGGCCCCCTAGTGGACATAAACTGTAATGCCAGACAGAGAGACTGTGCTAATGTTATACGTTGTTTTTAAAATCAATCAATTAATTTGATTTA